TAACGTACTAGCCTAATTGGGCTAGACATCTCTGTCTCAAGGACAAAACATTGGCGTCGTCTGTGGGGAGTTCTTTTCTTTGAATCTGAAGTTCCCACCGAATCTGACAAGGGATGGCAATCCAGACGAGGAGCAGTAGCCAGCAGCCACCCCCAAACCAGAATCAATCGTTGGATCCAGTCATTGAGGAGATAAATCAGCCCCACAACCAGATCGGAAACAACGTGGATTACGACCACGTCCAGGTCGAAGACGATGTTTCAGACACCGCTTCGTCTCCGGTGCGTCGAAATGGGGGTGCTGCGGCGAACGTAGCTCCAATAAGAAGCAACCCTGCCCAGCATCCTGGCGACCTGGCTGCGCGCATTGCTCAATCGGCTGATCTGGATACTCGGTTGGCCAACAACGCGTTAGCCGCAATCATGGAGCGAATAGCAGCGCTGGAAACCCGTACTAACTTGCAATGGCAACAAGATTTCAGGGCTATTCGAGAGGAAAATAATAGAGGGATGCAAGACCTGGAGCGGCGATTAACACGGCGGACTACGCCAGGAATAGCCAATGTCGAAGGCCAACCTGCCAATGGTCGAGAAGAACCTATGAACTCGGTTCAATCATACTAAGTTCTTCATGCAGAAAACCCTGATAACTTGGTGAACCAGGGATACCAGGTCGCTGATGGCCAAAATGCACAAAACCATCAGGCACATGCTGACGGTCAGGAGGACCGGGTTAGAGCTCAGTATCAACAGGATCCTCAAAACATCCGAGGGCGAGTAGAACCTGGCGGATATAGGATGAAGTACAGCAGGGGGAAGTACAATAACAGCCCATTCACTACTGAAATATTAAACGATGTCTTTCCTGAGGACTTTGACTCGGCACGCCTGCCGAAATATGATGGGAGCCAGGATCTGCAGGTGCACATAGATGCCTTTGACACGGACATGTACATTCGGGGAATTGATGAACCTCTCATATCCTGAATATTTGCTATAACACTAACTGGGGCAGCTCAGGCGTGGTTCTCAACCCTGCCTGCTAATTCCATCGGATCCTTTGAGGAATTCGGACATAAGTTCCTATTGAACTTTGCAACCAGCAAGAAGCATCCAAAGTCCGAGTTTGCTCTTGGAAAGATACGACAGCAACCTGGAGAAACCCTCCAAAAATACCTTAACCGATTCAAGGACGCTGCATTGCAGGTCCCAGGGTTGCAAGAGAATGTCCACGTCCACCTCATTGTGGCAGGTCTGGATGGTGGATCCAGACTCGCCAAGTCGGTCTATAAGGACCCAGTAAGAACGTTGGAGGGATTTAGAACTCGTTCGAAGAAATATCTCGAACTAGAGCAAATGAAGATTGTAAATGTGCAATCTGATGAAGGCAAAAGAGCAAGCCCGAGAAGGAGGAGCCCACCCCCGAAGGGAAAGGAACGAGTTGACAACAAGAAGAAAAATCAACGCCAACGAATCCCGGACATGAGGGACCGCATTGGGAGGTATGACAAGTATACACCTTTGAATGCATCGCGTTCTCAAATCTGGAGAGAAGTAGCCACGACAGAGATGAAAAAGGCGGAGAGACATCGCCCCATATTTGACAGAGGAGGATTAGATAAGTCCAAATACTGCGCCTTTCATGATGGGCCAGGTCACACAACTGATCAGTGCTGGGATCTTCGAGATGCGGTGGAGAAGTTTGTAAGAGATGGTAGATTACGTCAATACGTAATAAAAACCCAAGGTTCCAGAAACAACAAAAGGAAGTTGGGAAACAGGAATCGAAGCAAAAGTCCCGTTCATGAAAAGAAAAATAAACAGTATAAGAATCAGAAAAATGATTCCAACTATGACGAATTCCCAGAAGTAGAGTTTGATTATAATGTAATTAGTGGAGCCTTGGGGGGAGGAGGAGATACTGTAGGTGCTAGAAGAAAATACCTGAAAGAGGTACTCTCTATTCGAGATCGTCCCAAGTTCAAAGAAGACCCAACCAAGCCAGATCCACCTCTTTTACACTTTACCAAATAGGACATGTGCGAGGTGTTGCCGGGTCATGTTGACGAACTGGTCATTGCGGGGACCCTAGTGAATTGCCGGGTTAGAAAGATTTTCGTGGATGCAGGGAGTTGTGCCGACATCATACTCTGCGATGCTTTTAAAAAGATGAACCTGGATGAAGAGGACCTCAAACCTTGCAAAACGAAGCTGGTAGCCTTTAATGGAGAGCATACGCCTCCTAAAGGCTACATTGATCTCAGGTTAACCCTGGGAGCAAAAGAAGCGTTCAGATCAGAACGGGTTAGGTTCATAGTGGCCGACTTCCCTTCAGAATATAATACAATCCTAGGAAGACCGACAATACATCAGTGGGACATGCTGATTTCTACAAAACACCAGAAGTTAAAAATGGTGAGCAATAAGAATGAAATAATCATTGTTTGTGGAGATCAGAAGGAATCCAGGGGCTGTTACTTTGATACTATCAAAGAAAATGAAGGGGGACGTTCGAGCCCACCCCGAATTCACTCGGGGGATAAAACCGGTAGGAATCTAATTCCTCAGCAATCTAAGAAGCCGGTCAACATGGTTGAACTCAACATGAGAGAAGAAATAATGCTGAGACCCGAACCTGATGGAGAGCTTGAGGATCTCATGCTGGGGGAAGAGCCTGGTCAGTTTACCTGCATTGGTAAGGCCATAGACCCCCAGATTAAGCAAATTTTGGTTGACTTTCTTAAAAGCAACACGAATGTATTTGCATGGAAGTCGTCAGAGATCCCTGGCATCGACCCCGCATTCTGTTGTCACAAATTGGCAGCTTATTCGGGGTCCAAGCCAGTTTCTCAGAAGAAAAAAAACTGGGACCTGAAAAGAAACAAATTCTACAAGAACACGTTAAATAACTCTTAGATGCTGGGTTCATTCGAGAGATACAGTACACGAAATGGCTAGCCAATGTGGTGATGGTGAAAAAACCAAATGGGAAATGGAGAATCTGTACTGATTACACAGATTTAAACAAAGTTTGCCCAAAGGATGCTTATCCTATGCCTAACATAGATCAGCTGGTAGATAACTCGGCTGGATTTCGTCTGTTGTCTTTCATGGATGCCTATTCGGGATACAACCAGATCCCAATGTACCCAGCGGATACCAACTATTGCTACAATGTGATGTCATTTGGACTTAAAAACTCAGGGGCAACTTACCAGAGGATGATGAATAAGGTCTTCGAAGATCAGCTGGGCAAAAATATAGAAGTGTATATAGATGATATGATTGTGAAGTCATTTGATATGATGAATCATGTTCCACGGTCGTGGGTGGAAACCACAATCATCATGCGCGAAAATCACAGCGCAGAGGAGGCTAGGGGGCAAGGGCAAAACTGCCACTTCCCACAAAAAAAACAATGATTAGACAACTGAAGCGATGCTGCAATAAATGCGCACGAAACGCAATGACAACATAAGAACGACTGCAGCACGCTAAAGCACGCGGGCTGGAACACGTGGCACAACGCAATGAATATAGTTCGCAAACCTACATATGAGACAAGGTGTATATGAACATACATCTATTCACCGAGTTCGGAGCTGACACTGGGGTAATATCAACTCACGGTTATTTCAGCACAGCTTCTACCCGGCTACACAAGGAAGCAGCAGGCATACATGCATGCCCCAATAACCTGGGTAAAATGCCGACGCGGGTTCTTCATGAAAACACTGACGGGATCATGCACAACCGTCGACCAAATAAATATGCAGATACATTCCGAGATGAGGAATATCGCTTGGGGACAACCCGCAAGTGGGATTAAACAACTCAAGCGTATTCCTAACTCGGAGTAGCAATATGGTTGATGCTCAACCAGCAAGGCAATACGAGGGAAATGGCGCTGCATATAGCGAAGGTAAGAACCCGAAAGCAACACGTATGCTGACATTAGGAGGCAACCCGACAGATCGATATTGTACCCGGCCCAAACATTGGGGGTACGCAAAGTATCTCACCGGGTTGATGCTCAACCCGTCGACATAAGGGGGCAAAGAACATCCCGTGAGAAAAAGAATTCCCTCGCAAGTGGAGCATGCAAGTCTGCAAAAACGCAAACACATCCGGGAGTAAAAAACTAGAAGAGATGCACTCATAAGTTCATCCTGACTACCCGGGTACCCAGGCTGAGGGGCAACTGTTATGGACCCGTATAATGGGCCCATTAAGTAGCAAGCCCAACAAGGGGCAATCCAAGATATGGATTGATGCTAATAAAGGATAGGCATCCATCAAGGATACTAATCCTAATGCGACAGCATAGCTATCAGGCCTGGACCCTCACCGTAAGAACTAAAGGCCCATCTACACTACCTACAGGTAACATCTATAAATACAAAGGCAAACCCTAAAGGTACACACATTCTCTCTTTTTTATTGTTATGCTGTCACTGTGCACACACACACACCCCATTGGCTAACGCCGTTATAGTATTCTGTGCACAGTGATCTGCTTGACTCAAGGGCATCTCCTTCATAGATACCTTGGAGAGGGCACCAGATCCAACATTAACGTACTAGCCTAATTGGGCTAGACATCGCTGTCTCAAGGACAGAACAAATACAAATATATTGGGTAGCATGGAGATATGTTGGGTATCCAATATTGGTATCCTATCCTGTTAAATCATAACCCAGCTCCTCTAATAGGATAAGAAATCATGTATTGAATAAGATAAAATGAAACAATAAGATAAGTTAATCATATTCTATTAACTCACTAAACAAGAGATAAAAGTAAAATATAATAAATAATGATATCCTATCTTTTGTATCAATTGCTCCAAAGAAGACTGTGGATCTTTTGAAATCTGAGTACAATGCACTCCCTTAATTAAGTCAGAATTCACAATCCTAAGGGTGCGGTCTCTAAATCTTGTGCCGTCGGCCGAGATAACGCAACACGTAAGCAGAATACGGATATAATTGGAAATAAAATGCAAAAAGACAGGGCAATTCTGTCATCGGAAGGAAAGAGCTGTACTATATAAACCCTGTAACCCTATTGTCCAGTCACTCTATTCCACACACTCTTCTCTCGCGGCTAGGGTTTTAGCGCAGCTATTCTTCTTCAGGTTGTCTCTCTTTCCCTCTCCTATATCGTTCCATGTCGATTTTCTTATCATCAATTTGTTGATTTTTTTTTGGCGCAATTTAGTTTTGATCTTTGGTAATGGAGGATAATCGATTCTTGGTTTATGTTTTTTTTTTTTTTTTGTTCTTTGTTTTGTTATGTGGTTTGATATTGTTTAGGATTCTTATTCTTGTTAAATTGAACTTATGTATCCAGATGGTGTGAAAATCATGAATGTTGGAATCAGGTTTTTTTGTCGGTTATTGATGTATAGATCTGGGTATCGATCTTTTCACCGAGGACTTGGGGTCTTACTGGCTGTGGATAAACATAGAGGGATTTGATTACTGTAAAGACGTTTTATTTTGAATCTTATATACCTTGCTTTTGTTTGCGTGTCATGCTGGGTTTGCTTGATCTGCTGAAACATGTGGCATCTGTCCTGTTTGATATGTTTTGCTGATTTGGATTGTATGTTTTTTATATTTGGTTCATCTGAATTGTTTTCTTTGAGTATTGAAGTTTTTTGTTGTTGTGGGGAATGATGTGACATTTTGTTGTACTTTTTTTCTTATATGTTGTTTTTTTGGGTTGAAATGGCAGATCTTTATTGTTTTCAAGCTTAAGGTGTCATGGGTAAGGAGAAGGTTCACATTAACATTGTGGTCATTGGCCATGTCGACTCTGGGAAGTCAACTACCACTGGCCACTTGATCTACAAGCTTGGAGGTATTGACAAGCGTGTTATTGAGAGATTTGAGAAAGAAGCTGCTGAGATGAACAAGAGGTCATTCAAGTATGCGTGGGTGCTTGACAAGCTTAAGGCCGAGCGTGAAAGGGGAATCACCATTGATATTGCCTTGTGGAAGTTTGAGACAACTAAGTACTACTGCACAGTCATTGATGCACCTGGACACAGGGATTTCATTAAGAATATGATTACTGGGACATCCCAAGCTGACTGTGCTGTTCTTATTATTGATTCCACTACTGGTGGTTTTGAAGCTGGGATTTCCAAAGATGGTCAGACTCGCGAACATGCTCTCCTTGCTTTCACTCTTGGTGTGAAGCAGATGATTTGCTGCTGTAACAAGGTATTTGATTTTTTAGGCCTTTATCTCCCTGCACTTGAAAGTCACATTTAATTATTTTTTTCAATTAATTTATTCAAGTTCTCGTTTCTGTCTTTTTTGAACAGATGGACGCCACTACACCCAAGTACTCGAAGGCTAGATATGATGAAATTATTAAGGAAGTTTCTTCTTACTTGAAGAAGGTAGGGTACAACCCAGACAAGATCCCTTTCGTTCCCATCTCTGGTTTTGAGGGAGATAACATGATTGAGAGGTCTACAAACCTTGACTGGTACAAGGGCCCAACCCTTCTTGAGGCCCTTGACCAGATCAATGAGCCCAAGAGACCAACAGACAAGCCCCTGCGATTACCCCTCCAGGATGTCTACAAGATTGGAGGAATAGGAACTGTGCCTGTGGGACGTGTTGAAACTGGTGTCTTGAAACCTGGAATGGTTGTGACTTTTGGACCAACTGGACTGACTACTGAAGTTAAGTCTGTGGAGATGCACCACGAAGCTCTCACAGAGGCCCTTCCTGGTGACAATGTGGGATTCAATGTTAAGAATGTTGCTGTCAAGGATCTCAAGCGTGGTTTTGTTGCCTCAAACTCTAAGGATGACCCTGCCAAGGAGGCTGCTAATTTTACATCCCAGGTTATCATCATGAATCACCCTGGGCAGATTGGAAATGGCTATGCTCCTGTTCTTGATTGCCACACCTCTCACATTGCTGTCAAGTTTGCAGAACTTGTTACCAAGATTGACAGGCGATCTGGTAAGGAGCTTGAGAAGGAGCCCAAATTCCTGAAGAATGGAGATGCTGGTTTTGTTAAGATGATTCCCACCAAGCCCATGGTGGTTGAAACATTCTCTGAGTATCCTCCACTAGGTCGTTTTGCTGTAAGAGACATGCGTCAAACTGTGGCTGTGGGAGTCATCAAGAGCGTGGAGAAGAAGGATCCTTCTGGAGCTAAGGTCACCAAGGCTGCACAGAAGAAGGGCAAGTGAATTGTGCAGGATGGTTTATCAAGGGAGATCTATCATTATGTCTCCAATAAATATTATCTCCTTGTTCGTAGTACTTCTGTTTGTCGTCTAGGTAACTTGTTCATCGGACCGAGTGTCAAGTCTGCACCGTCATCTCGCAACTTTTGTTCCCAGAACTGGGTTCTTGATCGACGGTGGCAAGGCTATTTCTCTTTTCTTTTTTATGCTTTCTCTATTGTATGATGTGTCTCTGTCAGAACACTTACCTTTTTGTATGCTGCAGTGAATTTTAGGACTAGTCAGTCCTACGCTGCTGATTTGGTTTTTAAATATCAAACTCTATATTTGTGCTTTTATTCTAGTGTTTAATTTGAGTTTTTGCTGGGGCATTTATGGGGTGGCACATTATTTTTTTCCCTGTATATTTTCTGAAAATGTAGGTTGCATTTATTAATCTGGCTGGTGAGATCGTGGAAGTTTGCGTATAATTTTATTCGTATGGCACTTGGCCAGATGCATGATGTATTTCGTTGTTATGGTCCTTAATTTTCAAGGCTTAGTTTTTACTGGTCGTGTAGTGGAGTTTCAACGTTTTGATTGATTTGCTAGTCAAGATCCTAATTCATTATAATTTTTTTTATATACCAACACTTAACCGGAATGACTATATTAAATTTAGGGTTTTATTAATCTATCTTAAAAGAGATAAGTTATCTCATATCATAGAGATAAACTTATGGTTTCCATACCTGAAAAAATAAAATAAAAAATATGACACAGTTATGGTGTGTTGTAGAGAAATTTATCGCATAAGAGTAGTTTTTTCCTTAAATTTAATGTCATTAGTTCTTTCGGAAACAGTAACCGCGGTCGGTTATTTTCTTGCTGGCTTCTTTTTTTATGAATTTTTTGAAGTATGCTTTTTTAAAATTACCATTAATGAATGGGCCTACAAAGTTAATAGTATATAAGTGATTCATACAAAGTTAATAGTATTCGATAATTTTAGTTTTAATTTGTTTTTGATGTTGTTTGCCCTAGATCTGATAAATCCAAAGATCTTTGGGCATGGCAGGCAAAAGATGAAATTTAGTTCATTTTTTTTTTGATTGCTACACTGGTTTTCGGGGCTTTGCTCCGACTATGTCCAGTCCGACCTGAGTAGGTTACCTAGCATTGGCAGATGAGTCTCCCAACGAGGATTTTTTGCATACACAAGATCTCGAACTCGAGTCCTTGCTTAAGCGAACCCAAGTACCTTATCACTTGAGCCAACCCCCGTTGGTAAATTTAGTTCATTAAGACCTCACGGAGTTTGTGTTGTACTCGATAGGAGTATTTATCAATCGATTTAAATCGCAGTGACCGAATTGAAAAATTGATAACTGAAAAATCGAAAAAAAATCATAAATTTTAATTGGATTAGATTGGTTTTCGGATTGGATCGGTTTTCGGATTGAGTAATGAAAATCGATCAAATATATTAATCTCCTATATCTATTTGGGTCTTTCCTCAATCATAGTTCAAAAATTCCTAAACTCAAACCCATTCAACTAAATCCAAAAAAAAAAACGTACTCAGATCTCATCGATAAAATTTTATCTATGTAGAGCTTATCTTATTGCAAAAAAAAAAAACTATATTATCGATGCTTTTGTATTTCAATTTTTTTTTTTACAAAACCAATATATACAAAAGATGTTATTTGCACAATAATCAGAAACAAAATTTAGAATTTCCAAAAAACCGAAAACTGATCCAATCCAAATTGAAAAAAATTGGATTGGATCGGATCGGATCTGAAAAAAAAATTCAAAACGAATAGATGATTACATGATCAAACCGAAGGAATTGGATCAGGTCATTTTTGCTTCTAAAAATGATCAACACCAGTACTGAATTTATAAAAGAGTTTCTTCTGGTGTATAGATTATTGGAAAATGCTCCTGTAAGTGGGTATAGTTGACATAGTTGAGGTGGTGGGAAGTCATAGGTTATTGTTATAAGAATGACATAAACCAGTAATTAGTATTCCATAATATGGCTTTGATATAATTATAAAGGCTGCACGTTCTAGAAACGATGTCAGGTTCATGTATACGCTCTGTGGAGGAAACCAGTGTGCCAATTGGCTTGCAAAGGCTGCTGTCAAGTCCAAGGGGAAAAAAAATTTTATGCTCCCGTCCCACCGTTTATTCAGTGATTCTTTTTCATAAATTGAAATTTTTCTTTTATTTTTATCCCTCTTTTTTTGTTCTTTTTTCTCTTAATTCCTATTTTTTTTCTATTTTGGGAGGAGACCACTGTACTCCAACCCCACCAAAAACTTTCTCCCAAACTTGATATATCGTAGTTGAATTAGAGCCTCTCTCAAAGGTTGGGATATATCGTAGTTTACCTTATGAGTTAGAGCCTCTCTCAAAGGTTGAGATATGTATTCATTTAGTTCCTTTTATTAGTTTTTGTTTGGACGTCAGCTCTCTTTTAATACAAAAAAGAGAGTATGGCTTTGAGGTTCATCTCATCCAACCCTATTAGTTTTTACTTTTAAAGTTTAAAAAATTGAATAACATGTGTTCTGTCCCAATTTGCTAGCCCAATATCAAAGGCCTTTGTTGCGAGAGGATTTATTGTGGTCGGACCACCATTTTTTAGGTGGTCCCTTAATGTAAATGAGAAGATAAAATTGAAAAAGAAGAAAAATAGCAAAGGTAAAAAAGAAAAGAAAAAATTAGTATTGTGAAAGGGAGCACCTAATCATTAGGTGATCCTAGAGCATAAAAAATATTTCTCTTTCCCTTGTTATGCTATCCCGCAGCCCCAAGCTAGCAATGACAGCGCTGACACCTCAGTGTTGCCCACAAGAAAGCCCGACGTAGGACACCAAAATGCAATACGTTGGGATATATTCCCCCTCCCTTTTCTTGCACGACAGCGGTTGTAGTGCTGACAGTGGTTGCTGCCTTACCTAGCAAGGTCAGACTAATATGACTCTTCTCTATAATAGTTGACTTGGCTCACTCTTCCACGTAGGTGGAACTTAACCTTAACTATAAACACCTTTTCCTTCTAAACACTATGGACACTAATCACCTATTTCATTAGATGTTACTTTGTCACCTTGGAGAGCCATCACAACCTTTCAACACCCTCCCTCCATTGTTCACAACACCTAGGAAGTCCCTGTGTAGTATAGGTCTAATACCGTCGCTGCGCAGGACACCCCTATAGCGACATATCACACCCCTTGAGGGTACATACCTGGTTCTCATACACAGCTAACAGCTCATTGACACTGCCTATGGGAAAGGTAATTTTCGATTCCCATCTCTCTATTGAAACCATTGAACGACAGAGGCAACCCTCCCCTTCTACAGCTGTGAAAATGGTCCACACTAGAAGAACGAACCAATCTAAGGCACCCCAGATGGTCACATTCAAAAACTGCACGAGGACTCTGTTCCTTTAGTCTCATCGATTCCGGCACCGCTTCACAATGACGATAACACTTTTCTCATTACTCTTCATCCCAAAATTGTTAGCTGACAATATCTTTTGTTTTCATTCAGCTTGACAAGAACATAATAACTTTGTTCCTTTTTACGGGAGGAATGCAACACTTCCACTGGTGCTACCAATTGCTTAAAAGCTTTTACTCCCAAGGTCTATGAGTGAAACCGTAATGTCTTCAGACATATCAAACATCCGAAGAACATATTAATGAACAACCTCAATGGTATCCTATGTCATATAGTTGAGCAAAACAAAACCCAACTTGAATGACTGAAAAAATAAACACAGGTATGAACTGGATGAGATCATGGATTAAGAAGAAAAAACGTGACGTGAAAAGTCTTACAATAGATAGATTACTAAATTAAGGAGATCAAAACACACGATCGATATTACCATACGAAGACCATTACGAGGCAAAAGCGAATCAAAATTCTTGAACTATAAGGACCATATATGTTGGCCTATGGGTTGCATATGAGGCACGTTTGAGGAGCACAATTACAATCCTTCTTTGCAAAGTTATTTATCGAGGAGAATAAGGATTCAACCTAGCTAGTTTACTACCTAACTCACTTGGACTACACTTGAGAATGTTGTACTTTTGAGCCTTTATCTCTAATCACTAGATAAAAAAATTACTGCTGCTTTCTTTTCCATGAATGGAGCAAAAGCGTCGGGTGAGGATGATTACCCCGCTTCCTTTTTCAGCAAATCTAGGATGTTGTTGGGGACCATTAAACTTGCAGAGACTTGCTTCGGTATTCAGAGAACCTTGATATGTTAAGGGAGATTAACAAAACCCTTATTTCTCTTATTCCAAAGGTGTCTAATTAAGTCGAAGTAGGTGTCCTTGTTTGGCCCAATCTTTCTCTGCAATGTCATCTACAAAGGCTTAATCAAATTAAGTCATTGTTAGCAAACTCAAACCGTTGATGGGAAGGTTAGTTTCTCCTTTCTTAACTTGTTTTATACCAAATCACCACATGCAAGATAACATTGAGATCACTCAAGAACTAATTGACTCAATGAGATATATGAAAGGCACAAAAATAAAACCATACATAAAGATGGATTTATCCATCCATCACAAGCTTATGAGGCGATACTTAGTTATATTGAGGACGTTTAAAATGCACATCAATGACGTTCTGGGTCTCACCCCATCTATAATCTTACATAAATAATTAATAATACGTTCTTATATTATTTAATAAAATTAATTATCTTACATTATTATCCTATAATGAAACTTTTTTAAATCAGGTAATAACAAGTTAATGATGCATCCATTATATGTTTCATTATTATTACAGTTTGATGAATCATGTGTTTTATATCTCTTTTAAAAAATTATAAATTATAAATTATGTCTATTGCATTATTTTTAGGTAATATCATGTTTTCTGCATAAAATAACCAGTGTTATAATTTATGAATGTCCAAAGAATAATTTAAAAGAGTTAAAGTTTCACGTATTATTGAAAATAAAAATTATTATTTATATACTCGCAAAAGTGTGTGATTCTTAATTTTTCTCTTTCTCTTTTTTCTCTTCACATAACTTTACATATTTTTATGTGTGTTGGATATGATTTAAGGAATAGGGTTTATCTCCACTCTGAAAAATTTTGAACCCTAATTTAAAGCAGAATTTTTATTTATATAACTTAGGACCACATTAGTATATGACGTCAGCTAATAACACAAATTTTTAATGAGAAAATAAATAAATAAAATTAAAAATAAAGGGGAAAATGCTTTTTTTGGCTGCAGAATTTTTTTTCTACGACCCTAATATAAAAATAAGTGAATCCTATTATAAATAAAAGAGAGATAAAAATATTAATAGAACCAACTCACATAAGATGTGAGGATCAGTGTGGCTGATTTTTTTTTTTCATATATTAAAAGGGATATACATTTTTTTATATATTAAAAAGAGAGATAAAGTTTTTTATATATTAAAAATGAGTGGATCTCATTATAAATAAAAGAGAGATAATTTTATTTTTCTTTCTACTATTTTCTAACACCGTTAGATTAGAATCTCAATTACCTTTATCATTTATCTCGACTATTGAGATTCTGATTATGGTATTGGAGAGTAATAGGCACAAAAAAAAAAGGAAGAAGGTAGAAATAAACTATCCCATATTATGTGTCTTGGACCTTTCCTGAAGATGGGTTTGTGAAGATAAATACGGATGGAGCTTCCCGTTGTAATCCTGGTGTGGCATCTTGTGGGGTGTCTCCCAAGGTATTTGGTTGGATGGATTTGCGTATAAATTGAGTTTCTTCTCTTCTTTTAAAGTTGAATTATGGGGTATTCTGAGAGATTTGGAAAGGGTTTGGAGCAAGGGTTACAGGAAAATTATTATAGAAAGTAATTCGCTGTTGGCAATTACTGTGCTCACCAATTGTGATGTAGTAGTCCCTGAGGTGCCGTTGGTTTCTCGTATACGGACGTGGCTTGGAAAGGAGTGACAGGTTTATCTCCATCACAATTTCAAAGAAGGCAACTTGTGTGTAGATTGGTTAGCTAACTTTATTTTAGATTCTGCTGAGCCAGCTGATCAGTGTTTTTTTAGTCATCCTCCGCTTGGTGTGCAACATTTATATCTTGGTGATCTGGCTTCGGTAAGAAGGGAGCGTGATGTGGCACTCCCTGAGTAATTTCATCTTTTTTTTTTGGGGGCTCTTAGTCCTTTTGTTTATCAAAAAAAAAAAAACATTAAACTCAAAAATAAAATAAAGAAAGGGTTTTATTTTTTTAAATTGCTGAACAAAATTATCTTACGCAAAAAAAAAGTTATGTATTATGAATAATACATAGTTGTAATGGTAAAATTATTTTTTCTTTTTTTATCACATGAGTCGATAATGTTTGAGAATAGAGAAAAATAAAGCAATTTTAATATTATAAATATATACATGTGATAATTTTTTTATAAATTTTTTTATCAACATAAAGAAAAAGGATTTCAGGTAAAGAAAAGGGTTGTTTCACAGTGATACCTAGCCAAATTATACAAAGAAGAAACAAGTAAAGAAGGTTGGTGTGAGAGGGAATCATCTGAGTCTGGGTGCTCAAGTTCCACTACCACACTCACTGTTGGATCTTCTTCTCTTCTTCCCTCTTCAGCTCTCCTAACTACACATTTCTGAATCCATTGTTCTCAGTTCTATTTTCTGCCTCTTGGTAAGTAATATATTTACATTTTTTCTTTTAAATTTACCTTTTTTACTTTAATTCTCAATTACCCAGATCGTCGATTGTTCCACATAAGCTGTTTGCAGTGCTTGTGTTAAGTTCCTTAAATATTTAACTTGTTGGTAAAAACGATGAACATGTTTCATTTGGTGTCGGAGCTGAAAATAGGATTTTATTTAACATAAATTTATGGGTAAAATTATTCATCTGTCCAAGATGTTTTTTAATTCTTTTGAATATATGTTTTCTGGGATTTTACCCCCGAGGATATGGAGGTTTTAGGTGTATGAGGGAACGATAAGTTGATTTGGACTTTGAAGTTGTGCAGTTTTTTGATGGAGTGCGGTGTATTTGTCTGCAAAACAATTCCAGAATTTTTGGCCACAATATTCTTCTTCCACAACTGTTTTTGAGTATGTTTTATTAGCTTCCTTCTGGGTTTTTTTTTATATGCAAAGGGTCTGGATTTGTGATTCTTCTATTGCTTGTAATCTAAATGGTACCAATCTATGTCCATCTGCGGACTCAATTATATGCAATTTATCTCTTGCTTAATCTTTAATTGGTGGCTAAGTTGTGCATGTAAAAAATAGAACTCCTATTGTAGAGAGATATTGTGGCTATAGTTGTACCTTTGTTGTCATGCAATATTATTTTTGTACTTGTTAAATTTTATTGAAGATTTATTTGATATTTGTTATGGTTTTTTAAATGCTTGATTTTTGTAGAAATCATGTTGTCAACCCTTGCTGAAGTTTAAAAATAGTTTAGGTGGCTTTGACTTTTGACAGGCTATACCATCTTTCCTTGTATTAACAAGAATACAAAAGCAATTATGCAATGTAGGTAGTAAGATAGAAATTGAAAAGCAGTCATGACTGTGGTTTACTTGTTTTCCCAATATTATTTTGGAAACAACTGAACATTTAAATTTTAGTTAAATAATTCTAAGAAAGGATGTTTGAGGTGTAGGCAAAATGCAGAATCCAGGTGCAAATCAGCTTCCTGAAGTTGATTCATTGCCAGATGGTTTTGTTGAGAGCACTACAGAGCCTCTTGCTCCTGCAACACCGATTCCTGAACAAGAGAAGCCCCTGAATAGTTACAAGGAGGATGGTTCCTTTGGCTACAGTCATTCTAATGAATTATCAAATGAGTTGGGAGGAAAAGGGTTTCAAAACAATCATGGTAAGCTAGATTAGTGAGCAGCGGAGCTTCTCATCTTCTGTTAACTAAGGCACATGCTTTTGATGTCTCAGATTGCTCAGTGGAGGCTCCGTTTAATAGCTGTATGCAGCAGACAGAAGGTACACAGATTACGCCTCCTCTAGCTAGTTCTGTTTCTGAGTCTCCACTATCTAGCTGCTGTAAGTTAAAAGAGCAACAACAAGGAGAATTTCAAAGTTCAGAAGATAGATGTAATTATTTTAAGTCTCAATGTTCTTTTTTGTAGATATTATAACTAGTAACTGCATCCTAATTATTTTTTTAGCATCATGGGATTTGCACGAGTAACATATTGATCTTGACTAAAGACAGGCTCTTTTTTTATGATACTCTGCTATTGGGTGTTGTCACCCTAGTTCATTTACTTATGGAGGCTATTTCTATTTTTTTTTGTACATTATGGAGGCTATTTTTAGATGTTTTACTGTAGCTTCTGTTCTTTATTTAGATTATGTATCCTGCAAGACCATGGTGTTATGTACTTTGCAACGTTTTCTCGTTCCCTTATGTATTTTTCCTTATGAGTGGAAATTTTTTAAGAGCCTCCTGGGTGCACGGGGGCATTGTTTTTAAATGCATATGGATTTCAATGATGCATTTCTCATCATGTTTGGTACATACACGACTTTCAAAGTTGGAGGCCTCCATACTGATGTGTGTTTCTGGATGTGACTTAAAAGCCTCGAAATTCTTGTAGTCTCCATATTATGTGGAATATGGTAGTCCCTTTGTTATGAGTCCCAAAGTTTATATTGACCTAATGGCCAATTTTTTAATTTTTTTTTGAAATATCTGTATTATTATCTAAGTCTGTTTATCAAACAAGCAACCCCTTTCTTAGAGCTAAAAATCTTCTCCATCCAAGAGTAAATTGAGTATGCATGATTGGAAGATGAACAAAATCTCTTAAACTAACATTTCTTATGTTCTCTAGCGCTGCTGGACATTTTTACCCATACTAAACAGCTTCTAAATGATTGGAATGATTCTGTAAACTGAAATAATCATTGGTTTGCCTGATATGCTTGAGCATAAAAGATAAGTGTTTTATATGATTAAATGAAAAAATCAATAAATTGTTTGAACATGTCTGCAAACCTTTAAAAAAACATGCTACCAGATCTCCATGTTGCATTACTGATGTCTTCTAGTTCTTCTTTCTTTGAGTATCTAACATGGTTTTGTTGCTTTTGCCAATTGCTGCTGCAGCAACTGTTGAACCTTTGGAGAATAAAGCACTGCCTCTAAAGGATGCTTGTTCACCAGAGATTGTCGATTCTTCAAAAAACAGAAAACCAGTTAGTAAATTAATTCTATTAATTTCCATATATTAATACATGCATTGATACATAAAAATATATCTGTCCTGCTACATATTTCTCTCTCTCTCTGAGTTCCCTCTGCTTCTCGTTTTCTGCTATTTATTCCAAACAGTTGATTAAACATGTCCTTGACAGTTCAACTGTCATATTTTATTTGACCAGCAACCAGTTTTTATTTTTTGGGCTTTAGGTTTGGTCATACTTGTGAATAGCGCTGCTTTAGCGCGCTATAGTGGGGTTGCGATGCAGTGTGGCGGCTGGTCGCCACAAACAGCGTCGCGACGGTCAGACGAAGGGTAGGAGCTGTCGTAGCCACTATTGCAGCTGAATAGCGGCGCTGCAGTGGTTTCTGCAAAAGATGGATTGTCGGGCTATTTGGGGAAGAAGAGAGGATTTACCATAGATTTAAGTTGGGGTAAAATCGACTTTTACCTTGCTTTTATAAATGTCTTTGCTTTTAAAAAGGGTAAAGCAATATTTTACCCTCTTTAAACAGGGAAACAGCAATATCTTACCCTCCCTATATGTTAGGCGACTATCAGAGTACCGTTAGGGAGAACCACACGTCTTCTATAAATATTAAAACCAGAACTCTCAAATTTGAAAATCCTCCTCTCCCATCGTTGCTGCGCAACACAGGTTTATTTTATCAGGAAATGCTTTTTTGTTTCTGTTTTTCATTGTTCGAGGCTTCAAGTATTTATTTTCTCTCTCTGTTTATTTTCATTATTATATTTCTGTTTTATATTCATATGTTTGTTTGTTTTTTCTATTTTTTTTGTTAGACTATTTATTTTCTGTTTTATCTGCATTCTGCAAATGCTTATTTTATTTTTCTATTTTTTACTGTTCAAGTGTTTATTTTCTCTGTGTTTATTTTTGTCATATTTTTTATATTCATACGGTTTTTTTTTTTTCCTGTTAGTCTATTTATTTTCTGTTTATTTTCGTTTTTGTATTTATGTATTATATAAATTATATGTTTGTTTGTTTTTTTGTTAGACTATTTAATTTTTTTTATGTTGGACTGTTTTGTTTTCTGTTTTTATGTTGGACTTTTTTTATTTTTGAGTTTGAGATCCTTCAAATTTGTTTTTTATGTCATATTTTCATTTTTTAAGTTTTATATTTGTGGAGTACAATTTAGTGTATCACTTAGGTACACTTTGCACATAGTGCTACCTGCTATAGCAGTTTGAAGCCGTTATCCGAGATTAATAAGTATGGATTTGGTAGGAATAACTTGGATTAGATACCAGTAAACTGAATAAATAGCAGAGTAGTCCTTTTTGTTTAAAAAAAACCATTCCTCAATAAACCCCTACTAGCAAAGGTGGGGTGAGGATAATCCTTATACGCAGCTTTACCATTGCATATATGCAAAGAGACTGTTTCTCGGATTCAAACTCGTGACCTTTTAGTTACAAAGAAGTAGCTTTACCACTACTCCATGCTCACTCTCATTAGTGATCCTTTTTGTTTAATTAAAAAAATTAAATAATATGGACTATGTTTAGATTGCCAGGCAGGGAGTTTGTAGGTCTAATGCACTTTTCTTCCTTCAAGATAGTGATGAGGATGCATTGATTGATTCTAGAGTTGTTAGGTAATCTTTGCGGGGATGATATGGACAATTGTTTAGAAGTTTTCTGTCAATTTATAATGACTTTGAATTCCTGAAGAATATCTATCAGGACTACTGAATGATAGTGCAGTTCTATAAGGCTTTAGCTGTTTGGTTTGTTTAAAATAATTTCTTTATAAAGGAGCTAAGTCAAATACGAAAGAATGACCCTGGTAATAGAACTGTAATTAGGGCTAGATTAGGTTTATTGAGTAGAGAAATCATACGGAGGACCCTAATTGTTCTACAGAAAACCATATACTAATTTCCAGACAGTTGGTAATAAGGTTTAGTTTTGTTGAGTTCAGTAAGAACATCAAACAAAAGCTTCTGTGCTAGTGTTGCTAGTTTTGAGTAATTATTGATTTAATAGAGTGGCCTAATTTGCCGTACACACCAATCTTCTGCTTGGTTAACATTCAGGAACCTTTGTAGCAAACCTCCTTTATTCATATTCTAAAATGAGCTGAATCTGTATTGTGATTGATTCATCTCATTCCTTTTATTGCCTCAATATGTAAAAAAAGGACAATTTGCAGTATTCATATTTGAATTAAAATGTGACAGATGAACACTTAGCAGTATATTTATCTCATTTTTGTCAATATGAGCAGATATGTTTCATTTTTCTTTTTTTCTTTTGGCTTGTACATATGACTATGTGAGACTACATTCAGGAGAGACTGAACAGTTAAACTTCTCAATTTCTTAGGAAACTGGTGAAAAGCGTAAGAGTGCAAAGCGTACACTTAAATCAGAAAAGGAGCTTTTAGAATTTACTCTGAAATATCAACAAGTGTTGGCAGAAAGAGATGCAGGTATGTTGCAATGAATATATCTGACTTGGATTAATGAATGTTTTGAAATATGCCCTGGAAAGCATTTGTGAAGTCTCTGATCAAATTTTTGGAGCTCGTACTTTATACTGATGTAAATTAATACTAGGGCATTCAAGGGGTTTTCACTATATTAATCCGGGGAAAAGTATTTCTCCAGTAACTGGAGATAAAGTTATCTCCAGTGAGCTCAAAACGACGTCATTTTGGGGTTATAAGATTAAAAAATTATAATGATAAAGACTAATATAACCTTGCAATATATTAAAATTAAAAAACACCTTGATTTCCGCCCCAAAACGACGTCGTTTTGGGCTCACCGGAGATAACTTATCTCCATTGACTTGAGAAATTCTTTACCCATTAATCCGTTACCTCTGTAACTGAGCTCTGAGTAGTATCTTCTAATGGGTTAGTATTGTGCTCTTCAGGTTTTCCTTCTATATCCATTATTTTTCTCATATACTAATTAGTGTAATCAGCAAGTTATTTCTCTAAAATGGCCAATTATTTTTTTCTTTTGGTAGTTTGGGTTAGCTTGGAGGTTTGGGTAAGCTTTTGAGTTGTTTTGAGAAACACTGTTTGGGAAAATGTTTATCTAACAGACTTTTTTGGAATCTTAAATAGATGGTAGTGTATAATCTGTGGATTTGGCTCCTCTCAAATGAGGGGTGCATTCTAGAGGGTAAAGTGCAGAATTATAGGCTTTGATCGGAAAATCAAGGAAGTAGATTTTAACAACTTCATAGTTTGTTATAGATGTGCATGTCAACCATTGATTTTCTAGTCAGCTGTTATAACTCCCCACTTTACACTCTAAAGTGTACCCCTCACTTTAGAGGAGCCAAATTCCTAATCTGTAACTAACATTGATGCTAATTTTTGTTCATTGACTGTTGCCCTTCTTTTTGTAGCTCTTGCTGTCAGAGATAAGCTTGAGTCACTGTGTAGGGAGTTGCAACGTCAAAATAAAATGCTGATGGTATTTTTCAATTGCACTGCTGCCTCTGAAACTGGTTGTGTAATGTATAAGTATTTTCAGATGTGGAATACTTCAAATATTTGGTCTTTCTTATATTTAGTTGAGATCTGTTGATGAGAAATTTGCTGGGAAGTTAAATCCCCTTATTGAATTTAATTCTTTTTCAGTAAAAGAAGTTTATTAAATAAAGCAGTAATATAAGTTAGGATGGTCCACTAAATGCATTTTGTTGTGGTGGAACACCTGGACATGGGTTTTAGTTTCCATTAAATAACATGGGAAGATGACTCTGTTGTTTGCTGCTTGAAAATAATTAGCCCTTGACGGGGCTGGATGTCATCCATCCTACTCTCTAACGCCATGATGGGACACTAGTGTACAATGGTGCTGGTATCTAAATTTCTGATGTTGAGTTTATAACCAACCACTTATACAAAAATAACAGCCCACTAGCATAAGCAAATAAACTAAAGGCCGTGCCAAAGCAAAACTAAAAGACCCAAATAGAAAATAACTAAAATGACCCTGATAAATTAAAATAGGAACATACTTCAGTTTAGGAGAGTTCAGCTATACCATCCTGCCAAAGTATTTGAGTTTGGTTTTCCCCTCTAAAATATTTCCCAAATCTTCCTTGCATCATATTTGCACCCCCTTTCAGTTTCTAACTCACTTTCATAACCATTCAAAAGGTACCTTACTTGACAAAATTTGGAAGTTCAATGGCCTCTAAGGTTAATTATTTTGTCTGGACAACGTTAATTTGAGGGGATTAATGCAAATGACTTGTTACCAATGTAGGCCTCACATTTGCATTTAATGCAGTTGCTTTTCTTTGGAACAATCTTTTCGGGATTCTTCGTCATCATTTAGCGTGTCCCTCCTCTTTAGGACAATAGTTTGATTTGTTATAAAGGTTTTGGTAAAAATGTCAATGCTCAAATTCCATTGCATTGTGCAGTGCAGGAAGTCCTTTTATTTACCTAATTGGAGTAGAATGCTTGCATCTTCAAGGATGTCTCTTTGCCCCAAAACTAGTTATGGTGCATGGTAGTGTTTTTTTTCTCTTTGGCATTCTGCGCATGGCTGTTACAAGGGAGTTGCTATGTTTGATACCTTGTTGCAGTCTTGAGTTTTTCGTGTTCCATGTTGTATCTCTTCTCATCTACCACCGTCCCCAATTAACTTGGGTTGAAGGTGTTGTTGTTGTTGATGTTGAAGAAAGTGTGACTTCTTTTACATGGTTTATGTTTTGGAGGATTTTTAATTCCTGCCCTTGTTGTACTTTTGTATACAGAAAAAATGTCATCTAATTAGAAAAAGGATCCATTTTTTTTTTCTGTCCAGTTTATTATATTTTGTGTGTGTGTTAATATCATGAACTAGTATGGCCAGTATCTTACTTTAATATCTTGACTTTGTTAATGACGAGACTAAGTTTCACTTGATTATTTTCAGGAAGAATGCAAACGTGTATCAACTGAGGGACAAAACTTGAGGCTGGACTTGTCAGCCAAGTTTCAAGATGCAATCAAGGTGTGATATCTGTCTCTTGCTTAGAATGTATGAGATTCTGAACATAGTGTACATTGGGTATACTTGCTCTGTTTAACTTCTAGTGGGAAATGTGCTTATAAATGATTATGGAAACTATTATATTGTGAATTACTGCAACAATTTAATCTTTGATCAGAGAATAGAAAATGGGTTGCCTTTCACTGGAACCAGGGTTCTTGGATCTCCTTGACAGTAAAGATATAATTGCTACTCTCAAGCTGGATAATTATGTCAGACACAAAGGGGCAGCAGTCCTAGACAAGTCTAATATTTACCTATTTTGCACACGCAATATCAGCAAAACAATAAATTGTGCACTGGGGTTGTCCCTTTTATACACAAATATAGAGGAAAACCAGCTCCCGTAAATAAATTGCCAGATAAAGATCAAGCAATAATTGTTATTTGGTATATATGGTTGGAAGGAATTCTCTTCTTTTAAAGGATGCTTCCTTGTTCTTAGATTTGCTATGGAATAAGGTTATTTTCTTGGCATCTATTCAGTGCTCTGCTGATGATTTCTTTGGGTCAATATCTCTGACAGATATACAGAGGGGTTGCATAGTAGTGTGGATTTGATGAACTTGTTTGTTTCGCTATGTCTTTTCTTTGTATTTTTGTTATAGAGGATACCTAATCCTTCTCTCTCTCTCTCTTTTTCCCTCTTTGTCTGTTATTTTTTATCTTTCTGTAATCTGTTCTTACTTTTATTTGAGTTCATCCACTGCCTACCCCAACTAGTTTTGAAAAATAGGCGATGCTGATGTTGATTAATTTTTTTTTTTTGCACACTAAATAGTGCATAGTAGATGGTAAAATGTATGACTAGAATGCTAAAGCTATAGAAAAGTTATAAAAAAAAGAAAATGACACCATGGACACTTATTCCTAAACCCAAATGTCTTCATAAAGGTTGGAAAACTGATGAATTTTACCTCAGGCTTTAATAGAAAAAAATCTCTTTCCTGGCTGGCCCATGGATATAGCATCAAGTATCAATTATCTTATTAAAATGTGCTAAAAATAACCACAAAGTTACTGTATCTGTTATGTTTCTTCAACAATTCCTCACCTTCGGGGAATATGTTTCTATGTTTATTATACCTCAAATGAAACTTGTGTTTCTTATCTTCTGAGACACATTTTGGGGATTGCATTACATGTTATAATTTTTCTCACCAATTCATTTATTTTTCGTTATTTCTCTCTGTTACAGGATGTGAGCATTAGGCTTGAAGAACGAAAGGATGACTGTCTTTCTCAGCTAAAGGAGAATGACATGTAAGACCCTGAAAAGTTATGAAAATATAAACTTTTGTGCTTAGTTGACTATAATATGTCTCAGCAAATGTATAACGTTGACAGCTATATGTAACACGTGTCTGCACATGAATGTGGGTATTTTATTTTGCCATTGCCAAACCATATTTTATCTTGGTCTTGTATGCTAGCCATTACTCTTCAATACTTTGAGTGTTGAATTCAAATCCTGTTATCTCAATAATTAGTTAGTTTGGGGTTGCGTTCTTTTTTTCATCTGTGTCAATTACATTGCTTCTTGCTGTTTTTCAATAGAATTTGTGAAGATTCAATATGTTTTATTGCCTACTGCTCTCGGATAAGGTTGTCTTAAAATGTATTGACTGGCTTGTCTTTACTATGCAAAATCTTCATTTCCATTATGTTTGATATGATATTTTTAGTCTACTGTTGATAATCTGTCTCCATGAATTTTGACTTTGGTACTCATAAATGCTTTTTACAAAATAATTTTGCTTTCCACCTTTTTTAAGAATTTGATCATGCACTCTTACCTTAGCATCTTTTCTGAAAGAAAGACCTGGGCTTGCAAACTTTCCTTTTGTAATTTAGGGCTGGCAAATAGGCAGGTTAGTGTTTTAAGGTTATTTATGGGTAGGTTATTACTAACTCATCCTTTGACTTAGTATGCTAAGAAATTAATACGATTGTATATTTTGCTTAGCTCATTATTTATGGAATCGACAGTGTCAGACTTTGTAGCATTAGAATATTTTATGATCATATAATATAATACTCAATAGTAATTATAATAATGGTTTTCTTTGCACCTGTTTCAACCCCCACCCAAAATAAAAAAAAAAAGAATTTGTTTCGTGTTAGAGAATAATATAAACCATTAAGAAGGCCCTCGCTCAACACCTTAAGGTTTTGGATTGAATTGGTTCTTTACATAGTATTAGAGCTAGCTTTAGTGACCACAAGGTCACGAGTTTACTCCTCTCACTTGTGGAATTAAATAAGCATAAGGTAGACCAAAAAAAAGAAAATAAATAAATTGGGCCTATGCAATATCCACGCTTCAAGCCCAAAGGGCTCTTGTGTGAGGGGGTGTGTTAGAAAATAATATAAACCATTAAAAAGGCCCTCACCCAACACCTTAAGGTTTTGGGTTGAAGTGATTCTTTACATTTTGTGTTCTTGATTCATCATTTATTGAGTTTTGCTGCACCATACGTTTGCTCTTGAAAAAGAATAAATACCGGCTTCAATGTTGGTTTATTTAATGACCCTATAATTGTTTCATGATGAGCGTAAAATATTTTGTGTTAATTTCCATACAGGTTAAGAAACAAGCTAAAGCAGCTTGCTGATCAATATGAACTATCTGAGCAGCAATATGCCCAGAAGGTGATGCTTATTTTGTTTTCTTGTGGCTGACTATTGTGATAGAGTCATATCTATTAGTTTTTGAAACTGGTTTACTTTAACGATTTTGTATTTGAATCAACAGTTGAAGCAAAAGTCATTGGAACTACAGCTTGCTGATTTAAAAATAAAGCAACATGAGGAAAAATTGATTCAGGAACAGTCACAGATAAAATTATATGCAGAACAAGTATCTCAATTATTAGCAACTGAGAAGAATTTACGTTTGCAGCTGACAACTGATGGAGAAAAATTCCAACAGTTTCAGGTTTTATTTTGATTCTCTTTTTTTTGGATCTGTCACAATTTGAATTTAAAACCTACTTTACTTTAATGTGCTCAATTGTTTGCATAGAGGTCTGGTTTGTTTAATATTTGTAATTTGTAACAATATGATGTGGAGGTAAACAATTTGTAGATGGATTCTTAAAGGTCTTGCGATTAATGGTGACTTTGGTTTCACATCCTCTAGGTCTTTTTATTTTTTATTTTTTATAATTGAATAATATTAAGTTATGGATTCATATATTTATAGTTATTTGTGGTTATTTTTGTTTTCCAATATATTAATATCTTTCACTTGTTCTTTATCTTTTCTTTCAGTCAACTTTGTAGAATAACCCTTTCCTTTCCCAAAATCCCTTACCTACTTGAACTAGCTACACCCTTCACTAGTTCTTCCCTGTATCCAAACTAACTGAACCTTGGTTATTGCCATGCTCCATTTGCTGTTATCTTTCCAGTTAAAGGACTGGCTTGACCGTCCTTCTAACTGATTGTGTTTAGGCGTGTCTTTGTAAGTTAATTTCTGAGTACGTCTTGTGGCTACAACTTGGATTCTTTTTTAAGATTTTTTAGGCCTCAACTTTGCTTCTTGCTCAAGGCCTCTTTTATGATGGTCTCAGGCTGACCTCCATTCATTTCTTCTACATATGATTTGAAAGTGTAGGATGTATAATTGCTTTAGATGTTTATACATTACTATGAGTGCGTGTTCTTAAACATGCTTTGAATTTCAGGAAGCATTATCAAAGAGCAATGATGTTTTTGAAACATTTAAACAAGAGATTGAGAAGGTAAACTTAATTTCTCTTAAATGTTCCATTTGCTCAAGAGTCATCTTTACTGAATCATATCTTGGATTAGTGTAATTCTAAAGTCCTCTGCCTTTTCCTTTGTTGTGATTAACAACCAGATGGCAAAATCAATCAAGGAACTCAAGAAGGAGAATCAATTCTTGAAGAGTAAATCTGAGAAGTCTGATGTTACACTTATAGAGTTAGTTGATGAGGTACATTAGCTTGTGTTTCCTGTTTGTTCTTGACCATTTACCATTCTTGCATGTTTTAAGAAAGAGAAACGTAGATAAAGAGATTAATTGGCGATAACACAATTGTGTCAGGCACTATAGAATTACCCTTGCACGTTTTGCACACTGATCACTTGCTATTATTCGTAACACTTCCCCTCAAGCTGATACATAGATGTCAATCTTGCCCAGCTTATTACATATAACATCTACTCAGTTCACTACTAAGGCTTAAGTGAATATATAAACTACCTCGGCTTAAGTGTTAGTTTATTGAGAAAATATGTGAAATTTAGTTTTTTATTATCTGGGCAGCGTGAGCGCTTGAAGAAACAGCTGGAGAAAACGAAAAATCAGAAAGAAAAACTGGAGTCATTATGCAGGTCACTTCAGGCAGAAAGGAAGCAAATTTCCTCTGAGAACAAGAGCAATAACCCGGTTGCAACATGAAGAAGAGCTGGTTCCAAGCATTTTTAGAAAATAACTTTTGGAAGGAAATGTAACTTTCTATTACATGGTTTATATCTGGCATAGTGGCATGGCTTGGTTTGTCAGGGTACTTGCATGCAATTGCATAATTTGTGATTCTTTTGCTATATTAATATCTTTTATCCATTTCAACATTTTAACAGGGTAGAACATCTATTTTACTGACCTTGGCTTTCTTGCTTTTATAGTGCAGTTTCTCTCAAGGTTAACATATTTCTCTCATTTCTTTACTTTGGTTTTCCCATATCTTTTTTCTTGCTTTTCATGAACTATATTATATCTCGTGTTGTTTTCCAATTTTCTTTTCTCTCGTTTCTTAGGTTCGTAAGGAGGCTTAAGCACTTTGGGCATTTTCTACCCTTGTATGTGTTTGCAGGGTGGTTGTTCTGGCTTACTAATGATACGAAATTTCAAAACAAACTTTTATTTAGTTGTGAGAAAAGTTATCACATTTATAAATTGCAGATTTTGTGTGAATTTAATTAATAAAAGTCTAAAGTTTTTACTTACCTAATTTTTATATAGTTCTGTGACTTGGCATATCAAACAAGTGTTTTATAAGTATGTAATAAATTTATAGAAAAAAGAAATACATCATTTATCCAAAAATGTGATAAATTTATACCGTTTTAGAGAATTGGGTGTTCATGCAAAAGAAAAATAAACTTGTTAGTCTTATTGTAGGTGTAAATAGAGTACTGTGATGCAGCACGAAATACATCTCATGAATTTGATCCCGAATAATGTACAATTTTTTAGTGTAAATGAGCATTTCATGTGTAAAATAGACGGTGATAGCTTTATTGAAATAAAAACTTTATACTTTATTAAAAGCGATTAGCTAAATATTGAGAAAAAGAAATATGTACAAAAGGTAGAGTATATATCAAATATATGTTGTGCTGAACGGAAGTCTAACTACCAATAATGATCCTAACTTGCTTGATCAATAATGCTAAGGTCTAATTAAAAAAAAAAAAATTATACGTTAATGTATTTACCAATAACAATGACCCTAACAGAACAAGAGTTTCTACTAATTTAAATGACGCAATTCGCTTCAATGGGTTGTGCTAATCATTGTTGGCCATAATTAATTTATTCTGTTCATATTTATATAATTTTTTTAGTAATAACTGTAAATTTAAACTTTGTTTTGGACCCATCTCATAGCCTTGGTTCATGGGCTGACATTTAAAAGCTCATTTTCTTGTCTACTCAGCCTTCTAGGACATTTTATCTCATGCACATTCAAGGTGTGCTACCTCACACACAACAGTAGGGTTATTGGACAAAATGTTTATATCTCTCGTTGCGAAATAATTTTTCATCTATATATACTCTTTCATGCATTTAAAGAGCATCTTGCATCTATTACATTTATGGGTCATTACTAAATTATAGAATTATCCTGCTCTTAACACCATATGAGATATATATGGTGACTCCCTGAGGACATTGGTTCATATCACTCTCTCTAAGGGTGTGTTTGGTACAAGAGAAATTTTTTGATGACCGGGAATCATGATTAATGGGAATTCAGTAAAAATTGAGTTTACTTGGAATCTTACGAAAGAGGTGTTTGGTTCGCCAAAATATTACCGAGAATATTGGGTAAAAATTACTGATTCCATATTTGGTTTAGAACGAAATATGACTTGGAATATGAGGTTATTTTACAAAAATAACCCCAAACTATTTTTACTTTTGTAATTGATAGATTGGGTCTAGATTTTTATGTGTATTGAGGTATTTTTGTCTCAAAATTTATTGTTGTGCTTTCCCTTTACTTGGTATTCTGATTGGTATTCCGAATTACCATATTATTTTTGGTAATCTGAATAGTGACTTTTCTTTATAAATCAAATTACCGGTAATCCTTGGATATCCGGGAATCGTAATTTATTCCTTCTATCAAACGTGGTAATTACATTTACTAAAGAAGGATTACCGGTAATCCTCTTCAAAAACTTGAAACAAACACTCCCTAAGAGTACCATTATAATGAGATACTACACCCTACTAAATTATACATACTTGATCACATCACATAAATAGTTCAAACTTATAATTTTTTATAATAAGAAATAGATATGGAGACAGTGAAATTATAAACTTTAAAAAGTACTTACTTCAAACTTCAAAAAAAAAAAATTATTTTTGACTTTGACTAAATGAATAACAAAAGAATGAAAAAAAATATCTGTAAAATTTAGGTTTAGATTTTTTCATGTGAAAAAAAAAAATGATGTGATCAAGTGGAGAATCATAACTATTCAATAATAATAAAGAAATTTAAGAAAAATATATTAAAATAATAATTAACAAATTATAACCATTAATTTACTTTTGTATAATTGTGATTTTTTCACGTGACCATATCATATATTTTTTTATATAAGAGAATTCATTTCCGTAAAATTTAGGGATACATGAACTAATGACTAATTTATTTAATTTTTTAAATTACAAAATAAAAAAGAGTTGAATTATTTGAAGATAGTAACGCGTGAATGGTGTGCGTCAGTTGCAAAGAAACCAAGGATGGCTACTGACAACTCAAACCGGGTCGGGTTGGTGATATCCAGAACGGACTCCATTCGGGTTTTCCTCGCCGGAGCCTCCAACGACCCGAGTCTCTCCGATGAACTCCGGCAAACATCCTCCGATCTGCTCCTCCAATCCGAGGTACCGTACGCGCCACTTCGTGCTGTCTGGATGGCCTCTGATCCATCCACCAGACCCGAATTGACCCGACTCTTCTCGGGTACCCACTTTGTGTTCTCCAGCCCAAAACCCAGAGAGAAGGTAAATAATGATTACCCATTTTTGTTTTTCCAAATTTTCTGGCTCCAAAATGTGTTCTTGTACATGGAAAAGAATTTTCAGTTTTTTTTTTCTATCTCCAATATTTGTTATTGAGATATAGATCGATTCGATTCGATTCGAAAAATATATGATATATTATGTTACTACCTACATGTTGATGAAGTTCTACCTGATATTTTGTTTTGGGCCATGTAAGTAACTATTATGTTGACCCTTTGGTGTGAAGAGTGAAGAATTGAAGGCAAGGCTGAAAAAGTTGGAAGATTTAGCAGAGAGGAAAGCGTATCAAGAGCTTGTGAAGGATATTGCACCGAAGAATGATGTTGAGGAACCATTCTCTTCTTACAAGGATCAATTAGGATTTGGTAAATTCTTGTTCACTTCAATCTACTATGTTGGACTGTAGTTTAGCATATCAATCAAGTTATTATGTAGCTGGTAGGTCCTTCTTTGTTTATTAATTTAGTTATTGGTAAATTGGGAGAGGAGTGCTTTCTTCGGTAGCTTGTCTCTTGATTAATAGAAATATCGAGTAGTTCCTTATTGAAGCTGGTTAAGCTTTGGTTTGGTTTTTTAATTTGTTCATTGAGCATGAACACCCTTTTGCTGGATTAGGTAGCTTGTTTTGCTTTACAATCTCATTTTTGAGTACCTTATTTTGTTGCTGAACCAAGTATGCCATTCGTTGTAATGCAGTTTGGCCGTAAGTTTTGTTTAATTTTCTGTAGTTATTAGTATTACAGAAAAAATGTGATTTGAATGTGGTCAATTGTTGTGTTGTGTTTTATGTATGCTCATGGCTCCAAGTTTATTTCTTCTAGGAAGTTGTCAATTAGACTTAACAATGTGAAAACGTAATATTGTATTGCAATAGAAAAGAAAAAACACATAATTGGAGGTGAAAAGGAGATATTACATTTTATTGACTTTCATCCTTCATGATCATGCATTGGATATATGACACTTCATGCATTGCTGCTGACTCTGACTTTTTCTTATTTGATGCTTGTCATTTTCTTTTATGTAAAGAAATATCCTTCTGGCATTGGTAATAAGATCTTTCTGCCTGTTTTTCTGTTTAGAAACATACTGCCTTCTGTTTGGACTAGGGTATTGGTGGTACTGATGGATTATATTAGTTATCTTTGTCAAACTCACTTGATTACTGTACTTCTTATATACAGGAACAAGCTATGCATATTAATACTGTAGGTTTTGATGGGTGAAAATTATGGAAATATAAGATTTTTGGCAAACGTTTGAATATCGTTTAAATTCACAACTTCAAATATCCTTCATTTACTTCCATTTTGATATTTGTACCTTTCCCAGGATAACTTAATAAGTTTTCACGGACCCTTACAATAACTTACCCATTTTATTTACTTGCTACTGTCAGTGAAGAAGACAGGCAATTTTCTTTGTGCTGGAAATCTTTCCTTGCTGATTGGAAGTGCTGATAGTACTAAAAAGTAGTCCCTTTAATATCCTGGCTCTTACAATGAAATAAGGAAACTGAATTTAGGTGACAGAATTCTGTAAAGTCACCCCCCCCCCCCCCCTCTATTTTGTAATTTGCCAGATTTGATATCTCTGATGTCATATATATGTACTGTTTATGCCTCCATGCCTCTGAAGTAACTCTGTTTGATTTTTTTAAATATATTTTTATTTTTCATTCTTTAACTTCTTCAGGTTTGCACGTTGTGGTTACCATGTTTACTGGATATCTTCTCGGATATGCTGCATTTAGAGCGTTGTTTAATCACAGTCCTGCCATGGTAGAGTCTAAAATTTGTTTTTCATTATTATTCATTTATCCTCAAGTAGTTTAGTTATGAACTCTCATCTCCTCTTCGTATTCTTTCCTTCCTTTCTTATCTATATTTTCAGAATGCTGCTGGAGGAATTCTCGGATTGGTGGGTGCCATGCTTGTTGAGACTTTCCTATTCATTATTAGAAGTTCCGATGCAGATGTCAACAAAACAAGAAGGTCCAATCAAAAGCCAATATCATCCTTTTCCACATCCAGGCTCAAGAAAAACCAGTAGACATGATCAGGTTGGTTGTTTTTCAGTTTTACATTGTGCACCAAAATAAAATTATATAGTTTATCCCATTGAAATTGTAATCCACCTTGTTTTTCTTCTGCGAAGGACATGAATATTGTCTCTGAAAATGGAATCTACCTTGTATTCCAAAGGGGTAGTCTGGCCTATCTGGATCCTCATTAAGGACTGTGGTAGTGTTATGCTTTCACCTCAACCTGACATGACGTGATAACCTTGTCACCCCTCCCTGCACCACTGAAGAAAGAAGTAGCAATTCTTTCTTAACTGACCTGAGTATTTCATGATCTTTGGCCTCTTGAGATATAGCTGTTGAGGACTATGCAGGGATTTTTCTTTTTCCCATTTGTTTTGACTGGATTATAATTAGGAAGGTACATGTAATGCCCCCATAAACTGCGCCTTTTAGTTCTGATAAGCAGTGAATGCATATGTACATGGTGCTTGCTCTGATTCTTATTGTTTTATTTAGTTCAAGAAGTTGAGCAATGGAGCAGCGCACTTCCTACTGTTGGTCTTAGATTTTTTGTAATATATCATGCCCCTTTTGAATGTTTAGCATATGGTTTGAGTAAATTAGCACCCCCTGCACATGCATCTTTCTCTTTGGCTTCCTTCTTCTGCACCACATGGTTCTGCAGTATATCTGCATCATTATTTGCTTCTTTATTTATGGATTCTGTCATCAAGTGAACCTTAACATTCTGATCTACTGATACTCAAATGTTTTCCACGTGCTGACAATTTTTATGTCTTCGTTGTGAATATTTTGGAAAATTAAGAATGAATTTCTCTCTTAAGTGATGGGATACAGCTGTTCTATTGATAGGAACTGAATAGGCTATAGTTTTTATATTGCATGTGTAGAGAGCCTTATTTTTTTATTGGAAAATACTACTTTCATTTTACATGTGATAATTATTTCATGTTAATATAATATCTCACTTCGAAAATCTCACTCACTCTTTTTTTTTTATCATTTAATAGTGGATTTCACATAACTTCTCTCTGTAACAACATGAGAGAACTACTCTCGTGTAAGATGAGAGTAGCATTCTCCTTTTTTTATTATATAACAATGGTAATTACACAATTTTGTGCACGTTTCGTTATAACTCTTTTTTGTTACCGTCAATCCATGTAAGTGAGCCTCGTGGAATTGGATAAATAAAAAAGAATATGCCGAGCCTAATAATTTAGGGGACTTTTTAAACCATCGTTACTAACTCACCTTGAGCACGGTGTCCGAGAAGAAGAGTGAAAAAAAATGGAATGGGATTGCTCGAAAAAATAATAATATTTAATATGTTAAAGTTGTCCTGCATTAAGTTTGGTTTCAATTCGTGGATGAGAACTAAACCATTTAGAAATATCATTAATGAACATCAATTACTGTAAAGAGGAAAGAGGGCACGCCATTCACACAAAATACTTTTTTTTTGCTTAATCTCATGTGATGATTAAGTATACGGATTAAAAGTAGCTTCTAGCTTAAAAATAAGATGATATAAACAGGCACTTATATTATTATGAAGTTAAGATCTAAACTTTTTAAAAAGTATTTACATTTTTTTTTTTTTAAAAGATAAAAATATTCAATTTAACATTTGAAAACCATTTATAATATAAAGCAAATGCATGGCACATATGATAAATTTATCAAAAATACTTTCTTATTAAAGTTGAAGTTCTTAATTGGTAAAATTTAAAGCTGGGTACTAAATTGATTTGAACCCATATTAAGCGGTATGAAAAGTCCAATGTAATAACAGTACGAAGGCTCAAAGACAATAACTTAATCTATAAGGAAACTCGTATATGATGTGTATACGCAATTCTGAGAATACACAACTCAGTTTGTAGTAGTGGAGGACTCAAAAGCCTCCTCAATAGCCAATAGTTAAAAGTCTGACACCATATTTCAACCAAGCCTAGACAATAGCTTATCAAAAAGCATTCTGCAAGCGAGATAAATGGACAATCATCACAATCTACCAATTAGAGACATACCACTATACTAAGGTGGTATAACACGGCACTAAGCAAGTCATGATATTACTCTATAAAAAAAGGCTTAAAACTCAAATATGATCATCTTTTTCCTATTTACTACTTGTCTGTTTGGATCTTCTCTTTTTTAAACATAAGTTAGGCCAAACAAGTTTTGAGAAAAACTCTTATAATGAAAAGCTCTTTTTTCTATAATGAAGAAAAAAACTGAAAATTAAAAGCTCTTAGGAGGAGCTTTTTTTTAAGCTCTTATCTGTTTTTCTTGAATTGTGTGCTTTTTTTTAAATGAAGAGTGATAAAGATAGAGAGAGATAATTTTCTTGAAATATGTGCTTTTAAATAAATTTTAAGCTAAAATTTTCATGTAATTTCCAAACAGCTTTTAGCTTCTTCTTTTTTTAGCTCTTTTTTTTAGCTTTAGCTTATAAGTAGCTTCTAGCTTAAAAATAAAAAGATCCAAACAGACTCTTAAGCTCACAACTCAAATACTAACTTGAGTATCAAAGTGTTTTATAAATATCCACCCATATTTGTTCCTGATATAACACACTTCAACGATATCAAAATCAATATTTCATTGATACCACCCCTCATATCAAAAACCTCGTTACAACCTCCAAAGCACGGACACGTTACTTTTTGAATATTTTGCGTGTCGGACACGTGTCCGACACGGACACGCTCGGACATGCGTCCGACACGCGGTCAACATTTGGAGACACGTGGTCAACTCTCCGACACATTCTGACACGTTTTTTTCGACATGCAGTTAACTTTCTCCGATAAGCGGTCAACTCTGGGACACGCTCGGACACGTTTTTTTTTTTTTTAAATCTTAATTTTTTTTTTGTTAACTAAATATAAAAGAAATAATTTGTAAATTCATTTTTTTTTTCTTATGAAATTTGACATGAAAAATTAACAAAGTACGAAAAACTATTTTATGTTATGAAATTTAAATATTTGATTGGTTATATGACTTATTATGGACTCTTATATGTATTAAATATAATTATATTATATATATATATTAAAAATTTTATTTAATATCAAAACGTGTCCCAACGTGTCGAAATATGACATTCTTTAGAATTAACATGTCGGCATGTCGTGTCGTATCCCGTGTCCGTGTCCGTGCATCATAGGTTACAACAACCCTTCTAGCTATTCACTTGGACCAAACTCTATCGTGTGTGATCATGTCTAACTCCTCTTGGGCCAATATTTTTGTTTCAAATTAAGACGTCCATCACCTCACGAATAAAATGTGTAACAAAAAATGTTGTAACCTTGGAAAAACTATCGGAGAGTGTATCAACGGTTATTTACTCTATTGGCATTGGGCTGTCGAAATTCATTTTCAATTTTTTTTTTTTGATATATCAAATCTAATTACCTCTTCGAGGCAAGTGGGTCCTCCTATCTCACAAGCTTCAATTCTTTGAACTGGCTATGATACTAATATCGAATTGGGACTTAGTCACATTTAAAACTTCTCACTCCTCCCCAAAAATGTATTTGGTGAAAATTAAAATCAGGTTCTCTTCCCACTCTACTCAACTTAGCTTATATTGCCAACTGAGTTACACCTATTGGGTATTCAATTTTAACTGCATTAAAATATAATTATATCATCACTGTTATTTTTTTTATTAAAATTTAAATATTATTAATATTTATCATTTTAAAAAAAATTAATAAATATTTTAAAATAGAGTAAGTATCATAATTAAGTCATTTTAATAATATGATAAGAGCATGTTTAAGGCAAAAATTTTTAAGTTAAAAGTTATTTATAAATTAAAGTTAAAAAAAACTTTAAAAATCAAGCTAAAAATTATTTGGTAATTATATAAATTTTGACTTAAAATTTATTTTAAAACTCAAGTTAAAAATATATTTTTTGGTAAAATAGCTTTCATAAGATCTGTTTTAGTTGAAAATACCATAAAAGGAATTAGAAATTTATTATTTTGATAAATACAAATATGATAAGAAATAAAATATAAAAATTTTAAGATGAAGATTTTAAAGGAAAAAAATAGATCCAAGAATGAATAAAGCATTTTTATTAGAAGAGAACTTCATCTAAAAAGATTTGCATTCAAAGAATAAAAAAATTTATTATCAACTAATTATGTTGAAAAAAAGGGGAAAATTGAAAAAGAAAATTTTGAATATCAAACAAATATATCAAGATATTGTAACTCAATAGGTTGATGAAATATAATATTTTTTCATAAGGGTAGATGATAAAAATTATACAAAAAAATTTAAAATAAGGATATAACTAAAAAAATAAGTAATATGACTCCAAAAAAAAGTAGCTTATATCTTAGAAATAACTCCTCTAGAGAGCTTCTATTTTTTTTATTCATGATAGAAAAATATATTTACTAAACTTATCTTTCTTTTTTTTTTTTTTTAAAAAGACAAGCTAAAAAAAAAACCATTAAACAGGTATAAATGTGTATCCAAATTAGTTACAGGATATCAAAGGATTGATTTATGGAAAAGAATTCATATAATATGTTAACAAATACAACATAATATTTTTACAGATTAAATATGTCAATAATTCATTATCAAATTAAAAAAAAAATTAGAAATTTACTAATTTCATTGTAAACAAATTGTTTTTTCAGAAAGCAAAGGGAATTGATTAAGATATTTACAAGCTTACCAAAAAAATAAAAATAAAAAATAAAAAATGGGAAAAAGCTGTATTGTTTTAAACGACATATCTTATATCTTTTCACTTTCACAAAAAATGATACCTACATTTCAAAAAAAATTCACTCTCTTTTATAATTTATTTTTTTCTCTCATCTAACATGACATAACTTTGTATCATTTAAAATAATATATATTTTTTCAAATAAAAAAAATGTAGAAGCTCCGTTTAATATATCACTGACACATTACCGGCAATGCGTTAAAGATGAAAATAAAATTCGTAAGAGGTGTGAAGGGAATCTGTTCAGAGTTTGATGAAATCAAAGAAGCTTTACAGCTGCCAAACTACCAACTAAACTAATTGACCAAACCAAACCATAAAAACCAAAATTCATACTAGGCATGAAAAACTCTATAATTTGATACCAAAATTCCAGAAATCAAATATCAAATCATAAAACCTCATCGCTCATAAATAAATATAAATATAAGGAGAAAATGTGTATTATTTTGAAGGACATAAAGTTATATCATTTTAAATAAAAGAAAGAGATAATTCATGAGAGAGAAAATGGGTAAAAAAAGTTTTAAAGATATAAATCATACCTCTTCGTGAGAATGAAAAGATATAAAGTGTGTTATTTAAAATGACACACTTTTTTCCTAAATATAATATTCAACTTTGGTTGTGCCTGCTTGGCTTGTGCATGCCACGGCCATCATAATTGACTTTCTCTTCTAAATTTTTTTCAATATAATAAAATTCATAATTAATATTTTGGAAGAAGAGAGAGAAAGAGAAACACGTTCTTCTTCTTTCTTTTGTGCAGCTGTTGGCGTCTCTTTCACCTACCACGTTCTCATTCCTTGCTTCCTTAACCCTTTTCTCTCTCCTCTCTTTCTCTCTCTAGATTCCCTCGCTTGGCGTGTGCCTCTTGCAATCTCCGAAAGGTATCCATATGCAGTTTTTTGATTGTTCCCTTAATGCTTGAGTCTTTTTTGTTTTTGTTTTTATTTTTCTCCTTTTTTATTCTGCTGCTGGTGCTGATTGATTCTCTGTTTCTGTGGTGAGGCAATTTGGATCGAGTTTTTCATCTGTTAATTTGGGTGATTCGCCATTTTTTTTTTCTCTTATGAATTTTTTTGTTGGGGGTGGGGGTTTATTCTTTTTGAGGTCTATTGTTGAAAAGTTTCAATTTTTCCACCTGTTTCGAATTTAATGGGCAAATTTTTGAAATGGGTTGGAATTATTATACTTATTTTTCATTTGTTTGTGTAAATTTTTAAATTGGTTGTGGTGTTGGGGTTGAATCCGGAAAATGAATTGGAATTTGCCCTTGAGTTGACTTCTAGGGATGCAAAAGATAAGAGATGATAGAACCTCGAATGTTGTGAACTAATGCAAGTTGAAAAGTGGGAATTCTCAACTTGCTTAAATCTGTAATCACCAATGAGTCCAAGGATCAAGTTTTGACAAGTTTAGAGTAATTTTCTCTTTACCTGGACTTGAAGAAACAGAAAAATAATATAGATTGAAAATATTAAATGTTGTTCCGTTATATCATATGGGTTCAGTTTTAGGTTTTGAATCCTGATGTGGACTTCACGGGTTTGTATGCGTATCTTTGGCTTTCACTGCTAGAAGAATGTCAGTAATGTAGTCTGATTTTAAATGCTTTAGACCTTAATAGTCTTATTTCATTTAATTTTGTTTGTAAGAATTCTGAGAACTGAATTCACTGACTCCTCCACAGTTTATGTCTCTTACCCATAATTACATGAAGTATTTCTTATAGATGCTTTCCCTCCTTTTGCAGATCTTTTTGATTTGAAGCTGAAGAATGGACTTCTTTACTAGAGACATAAATGAGGACTCTATGCTTAGGTGTCCATTCTTGAGGAACATAAATGAGCCTACTAACTTTTCATTCTCTTCCCCCTTGGCTTTCCCAATGCCTGTAAGTTTTCTTTCTTAGTTGAAATAATCCTCATTTTATCTTTTACTTTAGCCCGCATATATGGGTTTTTCTGTCATATCTTTTCTCTTACTTCTTAGATCTATCTACCCAGTCAGGCCAAAAAGATGTGTATTGTAAACTAGAGCTTCTGTTCATGAAATGAATTATGTGTTTTTCTGAGCTTGGTGTGTCTTTTCGTCATAATATCATATGAAATCATCTTCAATATTTGGTGCAGGAACTTAATGCTGCAAGCTCACTATTTACCTGATCTATTATTAATCGTAACATAAATTGGCACACTTATAAAATATCTGTCTTCACAGGTGCGCGGAGCCAAAGGTCCAATTTTTGAAGATGGTCCCAATTTTGATTTGGCATTTAGGCTTTTCCATGGGAGTGATGGTGTAGTCCCCTTATCTGGGAGATCTTTTCGGCATTCAGAGAAAGTACAGCCTGAACCTCCCAAGTCCCAATTCAATCCTTTAGCTGCAAAGGCAGCAACTATTAGTCTATCATCATTTGGATTTGGCGGATTCAGTTTTGATGCATTTTCTGAGAAGTGGAACAAGTCCAAATCATCAAAAAAAGAACCTTCTTCACAGGTATACAGTAAATTCAATCTGCTACTCATGCCACTGCCAAGTCATTTTCCATAAGAAGATTCTCTAGTGAAGGTTTTGAAGTTATAAATAACATGTTTGGGCCTACTAGATTTTTCATCTTCCTTTTTATTGTAAGGCGGGTGGAATTAAGAAATCATGTAGTTGAAGAGAATCTCTGAGATATTTGTTTTTAAACATTTTAAAATAGTATAACTTTCAATCATGATGTGGATTACTTTTTCAGTGTCCCTGATGTGTATTTAATTTAACTGATATTCAGGATAGTTCATCAAAGCATGAGGCAGCAGGCAATGAGTGGCTGCAAAATGGGAACTGCCCAATTGCAAAGTCATACCGCGCCGTTAGCAATGTCCTTCCACTTGTTGCAAAGGCTATTCAGCCTCCTCCAGGCATGAAATTCAAGTGTCCACCAGCAATAGTTGCAGCCCGGGCAGCTCTAGCACAAACTGCATTCGCAAAGAACCTCCGCCCTCAGTCCTTACCTACAAAAGTTCTTGTGATTGGGATGTTGGGTATGGCAGCTAATGTTCCCTTGGGTATATGGAGAGAACATACTAAGAAATTTTCACCATCATGGTTTGCTGCTGTCCATGCAGCTGTTCCATTCATAGCAATGCTAAGGAAGACTGTCTTAATGCCTAAATCAGCTATGGCATTTACTATTGCAGCATCAGTGTTGGGCCAAGTAATTGGCTCAAGAGCTGAGAGGTACAGGCTGAAGGCAGTTACTGCAAGAAAGCTGTCTATAACTGAGACAACTGAGGTTGGTGCTGTCCAGTTACCAATGGTTAAAACAAAAGACAGGCACTGCAGTGATACTTCGGACTGGAATGCAGCTTCTCTTCAGCTTGCTATACCTTCATCAACTGATGTATTCTGTTGATGATTAATTTGTTATGTGTGTTTTGCACTGTAATTCTCTCTGTTCTCTAAGTGTGCAATTTGTTGCTCCTTTTATTGGTGCTCCCTTTTCACTCTGAATCTGAATGCCTCAGTTGGCAAAAATAAAAGTATTAATGTTTTATCATTTAGATTTTCCTCTTTACTTTTTATGTATGCAATATTTCAAGTATGCTAAAACCTTTAAATAAATTAATAAAAAGCCGATACAAAACTAGTATTGTGCTACCTTTATTTGCATGTTTCACTGATTCATTCTCCTCAATGCTCATCCAATTATGCTCTAGCAAAAGGGAAAGAATGCGAATATGGAAGTTTTATAATGCTGTTTCTCTTCTTGTTCCTCTCATATATCTTTTGTGAGATTAATTTCCGAAAATATTTTCAGTAGATTTGGTAATGGAAAAAAAGTAATTTATCTAAAACAATATTTATTCTATCATTCTTTTATGACTAGGGGCACGAGTCTTACTTTTATTTTTTCTGAAAAATGTGTTTTTTTTTTCCCGTCAAAATCATTTGATTACTTAATGGTTTACAGTTAATCATTGGTTGAGTGAACCGGTGAGGGTAGCATTATTATATCTTACTTGGGTGACTAAATTTTGGTGGCATGTGAGAAGGTTAAAAGAAAAGTGATGCCTCGAGCACGCGGCATCTGAATTAATGTATGGAGTTGACTATTCTAAGATTGGTGAATGGCTTATTCAACTAACACATTTCTTGAAAAGTCTCGGTTAGGTGGATTAAATGGGGAAAAAAAAAAAAAATATTACTATTTTAATAAAGAGTAAATATTCTTTTTGGTCCTCATCAAATTTTAAGATGCCCGTTTTAGTCTCTAGCAAATAAAAAAGCCCATCGTGGTCTCTAAGAAATTCAAAATGGACTCATTTTAGTCCTTGTAGGGACTAATATGGGTCTTTTTTGAATTTGTGAGGGACCACGATTTCAACTAAATAGGTCCATTTTGAATTTCTTAGGAACCACGATGAGCCTTTTTATTTGTTAGGAACTAAAGCGGGCATCGAGAAATTTGCTGAGGACTAAAAATGGTATTTACTCTTTAATAAATAATTACGAATACATAGCTGTTTTGAAACTATCTACGGATTTATTGCACTCATTTCCGCCCAAATTAGGAGTGACTATTCACGCCCAAATTAGGCGTGACTCCCAAGGCATTCACGTCTAATTTAGGCGTGAATCATCTGGTGTTGACACGTGGCAAAAAGTCTACTTACGAACCATAAAACTTTGGAAAGCCATAACTTTTGACTCGGGTATCCGAATGAGGTAATTTTTTTTTTTGATTCCACATAACTTTTCGAGTTTTACGCAATGACATCTCATTTAATATATTTTACCTCTCACAAACATAGTTCAAATTTGAAATAATGGTACTATAACATTACATTCAAAATTCAAAATTCAAAATTCAAAATTCAAATAACCTCCAATAAGTTGATTGCATTTTGTATTTAACAGGAGTTGATTGTGTTTTGTATTTAATAGGAGCTGATTGTGTTGTAATTTTATGAGTTGGTCATAAATTGTCGCCAATTCAAATAAATTTACTGGAGGTTATTTGAATTTTGAATTTAAGGTTAGGGTTTGTTTTTTCTAAAGTTACTTTAGATAACTTTATCTAATGTTCATCGAAACGACGTCGTTTTGGGACAGAAATCATGGTGTTTTTGTAATTTTAATTTATTTCAGGATTATAATAGTCTTTATCATTCTAATTTTTTAATTTTTCAACTCTAAAACAACTTCATTTCGATAAACTTTAGACAAAGTTGTCTAGAGTAACATTAGATTCTTTTTTTCCTTAATGTTATAGAAGTTGATTGCGTTTTGTATTTAATAGGAGCTGATTGCGTTTTGTATTTAATAAGAGTTGTATTGGAGGTTATTTGAATTTTGAATTTTGGGTTTAGGGTTTAGGTTACTTAATGTCATATTAATTTAAAAATAATCACAAAACAAATCTTTGTTTATTTTTTGTATTAAAAATTTTGATTTTTTTAATTTAAATCACAAATTAAGTCTTTATTTACTATTTTATATTAAATCACAAACTCAGAACTCTGAGGCTTTTGGGTTTAAACGCTCTTATGATACCATTATTGTAAATTTGAATTATTTTTGTGAGAGATAAAATATATCAAATGAGATGTCATTGCGTAGATCTTGAAAAGTTATGTGAAATCAAAAAGAAATTACCTGATTTGGATACCCGAGTCAAAAGTTATGGCTTCTCAAAGTTTAACTGTTCGTAAGTTGACTTCTTTGTGCCACGTGTCAACACCAGATGAGTCACGCCTAATTTGGACGTGAATAAGTACAATAAATTTGTAATTAGATTCAAAACGACAATATATTCGTAATTATTTATTAAAATAGTAATATTTTAATTTATTTATTTTTGCCTCAAATGAAGGGCTTCAATTAACTCTCCTTATTTATGATCTCCAGGGGATTATCCGTCCACTAAAGCTGGTAACAAATGAAACTTTTACACTTTTTTTTTCTGATTCCTGAATCATTTTACAAATTTTTATTCTTATCATTTTGTATTTTTCTTATTCTTATTCATCTCAGTATCAATAAGGGATTTGGAGCGGGTAGCTTGAGAGGAGATTAACAATTACATTGAGTAAAAGACAATTCTCTCGCACTGTAACTGATAATTTAGCATCACATCAATCATGTGTTATCCTTTTTTAATTTTTTTTTATTCTCTTTACTTTAAAATAAATATCCCTGTAAAATTTTAATTCATTTCAAATTGTGTCCTTATAATTATCCTTTTTTAATTTATCATGTACTATTACCCCACTAAAGGGCTGGTTCTCCACTAAGTAGAATGAGATAGCATTAATGATGTGAAAGGAAAAATTATTTAAATACAAATTATATATTCCTTAAATTTTTGGTCTTTCAGCATATTCGCACACTTGATAGATCTTGTGTACAATAGGATGCCCGAGGTGAGGACTTCTTCCAATGAATATCGGGTTTGAACTCAAGTCAAGACCACAATCTTCAAGGGAGTGTTTGGTTCAGGTTAAATTTTTTTTACTAAGGAAATGTAATTGCTAGGGATCTGCAGGGAAAGTGAGTTAGATAGAAAAATTTTAAAAAAGTTATTTGGTTGGACAAAATTTTACCATAAAAATTGAATGAACATCCTGAAAGTGTGTTTAGTTGAAAATAAAATATTGATGAGAAAAGTTATTGAAATTACGGAATTATGCTTTTAAAAATAACCCTCTGTTAAAACCAATTGTCCCAACAGCAATAAAAATTATCTTCGTCTTTGTCTTCCTTTTTCGTCTTAGTCTGTCTTCTTTTTTGGTTATGTAAATGTACCTTCGAACAATGAAGAGCAACTACCAAGAGCTGTGCCCAATCAACCAGTGTCAGTATACTTAGCACTTATTTAACCGTATGACGACCACTTCCATATTACTTCATAACGACACTCTTAAGGTGGACATCATTTCCCTCAAAAACAACAATAGCATCAAAACCCAGATAGGAATCATTCCCTTTTCCACTTTTCCACTCTGAAAAACTGAACCTTTGTTTGGAAAAACACACTCACAAAGCATAAACTAGAGAAAAAACACAACTGGGTATTCAAAAAATGGGGTTCAAAACACAGAGAAAAGGTGATAAAGAAGAAGAAGACGAACATAAGAGGATCTGATGAGAAAAAGTGAAACCCAGAAAGATGGAGATCGAGAGAACCCAGTTGATGATTGAAAATGATTCATGAACATGGTGAAAATGATGAAACTGATTCATACCAAGGAGGCATATTTAAAGGAAGTTGCCCAACTAAGCTCGACGGTGAAACTGATATCCATGCGGTTACTATTTTTGGCTATGGGCAGAGCAAATAACATGATAAACTTGATACCAAGCTTGATGGTGAAACTGATACCAAGGGGTAATGTGGTCACCGTTTTGTAGCTTGATAAACTTATCCGGATTTCAACACAAATACCACATTTCAAAGTGCTTTCTGGAACAGTATTTTTCAGACAAATAACATGCAATATTGGATAGATATGCAATTGGCATTGATGGGTAAATTTTATCAAATCTGTGAACCAAACGTGGACAATTCACAAAGCCAGAATCACTTTGATGGGAAACTCAGCAAAACACCTGAACCAAACACCCCCTAAGGAATACGAGTTTCTTTCACTCAGACCAACACATGTTGGTTTTTCTTAAATTAATTATATTTAATTACTTAATGATAACTATTTTAAAATGAAAGGAAATTGTAAAGAATCAATTCGACCCAAAAACTTAAGCTTTTGGGTGAGACTATGTTAATGATTTTATATATCTCAACAGAAATGTTATTTTTAAGTCAACAATAATTAACATTATAAATAAAACATCTAAACACATGTTTGATGAACTTATGAAAAAAAGTGTTTTTTATGTCATTTTTATTTTAGAATTATTTTTTAGAAAATTAAAGCTATTTAGATTTTAAAAAAAATATTTGGCTTTTGATTGGGGAAAAGTCCAAGTAGGTAGAGGAAAATTAATATATTAGATCGGTTTGAATTGGATCGATTTTCATCAATCCATCGAAAACCGATCCAATCCAATTAAAATTTGCGATTTTTTTTTTCAGTTTTCGGTTTATTCGGTTATCGGTTTTTCGGTTCGGTCACCGCGGTTTGGATCGGTTGTTAACACCCCTATTTTTACGTACGTATATATATGAAATAAAATTATTTTCTACAATATCAGAAATATTAATTTTTATTATTATTTTATTAAAAATATATTTATATTATATTTTAGGGAAAGTTTATACTTAGGCAAAAGTTTTCTGTAGTTGTGGTAGAAATATTTTGTCTATCACATATATAAAACTATCAGGATATGATGTTGGATCCTAATAATTTTTTAAGAAAATAAAATCAGTAGATCTCTTTTTTTGTTAATAACGCACACATTACTTTTCCATCACTGCTGCAGAAAAGTAATACTTATTCTTATCATCATTTTTTTTATCACTTGTCATTTCTAATTTTGTTATCATTGAATCAAAAATAAATCAATAGTTATAAAATAATATCAAGGGAAAGTTATTAATTTAATTTTAGGAGAATAGATCTGTCATGTAACATGATTAGAAAACAATTTCCTGCACAAACAAATTTTGGTGGGGCCTACCGTAAAAAAAAATTAAAAAACAAAAGAAATGTTAACACAATATTCGATGGGTAAGTAGGAATTTTTCTCTATCATGTTACATGATAGATGTATTTCCCTTAATTTTAAGGCAACGATTGGTTATGAAAGTAGTTAAAAAACGATGGTAACTACAATGGAGCATTTGGTATAGGAGAAATTTTTTTTATCAGGGAAATAATTATTATCGAAATGTAGTTGGAAATATATTTTACTAAAATGTTACTAAAAAACTGTTTGGTAGACCCATATTTTCTCGAAAAAATTAGGTTTATTTTATTGAATTTGTGAATCTGTGTTTGGTTGGTTATGAAATATCAGTGAGAATGTGAGGTTATTTTACCAAAATAACCCCACCTTTATCTACAGATCGTATAAATTGAAGGTCAATTTAGTCCACATTTTCTTGCTTTAATTTTTGCTTCCCCGAACAGCCAACAATTCCACCTATTTTATGGATCTCTCATTTGTCAGATTGTATGAAATTTATCACACAAAAGCATTTTTCCGGAAACATATTTGGCCTGGGAAGTTTTGAGAATTGAGCTACCAAACGTTGAATGCTTTATTCCTCTACCATGTTTTCCCGTGATTTCATAAAAAATTCGCGTATCAAACGCGCTCTAAAATATCCATATATATTTTAATATTTCTGATAAGGATAATTATTTTCAACGGAGATAACTTTTATGCGTGGTATATAAAATTAAGAAAAAAATGTTTCTGCAGTTAATGCAGAGAAGTTATCTGCATTTATTTCCAAAACGACGTCGTTTTGGTATTGAAATCTTAAAAAATTATAAATATAAAGGCTATTATAACCCTAAAATAAATTAAAATTACAAAAACACCATGATTTCCGTCCCAAAATGACGTCGTATTGACTTACTTATCTGCAGTAACTGCAGAAAAAACGAACCCTAAAATTAATCCCTAGTTTATCATTTAAAATAAGGGTTTGGTGTTTGTCATTTTAAATGACATAAGTCATGTCATTTTAGGAGAGAGATAGACACAGAAAATCATGGGAGAGAGAAAGTGGGTGATTTTTTTAATTTAAAATTCAAAATTTCTGTGTCTGTATCTCTCTTAAAATGACATAACTTTCTGTCATTTAAAATGACAAACACTTTTTCCTTGAAATAAAGAGAATAACATGTGTTATTTTAAAAAAGATATAAGCTTATATCATATTAGATTCTAACTGTTAATTTTTATTCATCAACGATTATATTTTATTTGATCAAAATTATTAATTAATTAATAATAAATTTGGCCCATTAAGTTTGACTTAATAGATTATAACGTTGATGAACGAAGATCAACGATTAGAATATAAAATAATATATGGGAAGGATATTGTGACAACCAAGTTGTGTTACTACCAAGTGACTACCAAGCAATCTCACCGTTAGATCGATTATGTTGATTCAACGGTTATATTTATTTCCATCTTTCTATGGTCATGATTCCCCATATTTAAAGTGAAAGCATTAAATATGGGAAATCATAACCATACAAAGGTGAAAATAAATATAAAATATTAAATTTGGGAAATCATGACAATACAAAGATGAAAATAAATATAACCGTTAGATCAGTATAATCAATCTAACAGTAAGATTGATTGGTAGTCACTTGGTAGTAACACAACTTGGTTGTCACAATATTCATCCCCAATAATATAAACATCTATCCTTTTAAACGATAAATGTGTTTCTCATAAATAAAACTAGGGTTTTGTGAATGTTATGTAACAGCAAAATGAATACATCATGTCATAGAAACATGTTTTTGCAGGCCCATCAAATATTAGAAAAAAAAAATAAACAAAAAAACTAGCACAAAAAACGATACGAGAGTAGGAGGAAACAAAATTGTACAGTAACATGACGTTAGCTTTTCCCATGAAACTATATTTTGAAAATATAATGGATTTATTGTTGCAGAGGTGAGGTTTTGTAATTCTGCTTTGGGAGCTTCTGTTCAGAATGGCGAGCACCAAAAAATTCGGATTTCCTTGGCCGGAATTCAACGACGGCCTCTCCTACCACGACGTCGTTCGACCCTCCGATTCTGGTTCACTACTCTCTCTCTCTCTCTCTCTCTCTCTCTCAAAGCTAGTAGCTATTTCCATTAAGTTAAGGGAACGCGCTTGAATTTTATTTGCACCTTCTTCTTTTTACCTTTTCATTTCTTTGGTTTGCTTCTTTTTTTGGTAATTCTTATGGATATTTCAACTCAATTTGATGGAATTTACGTTGTAACAATTTCAGGGTTGACACTGATAGAGTTTTACTCTAGCAAGTACAAGAGTTCAGCTCCCTTACAAGGGTAAGCTAAGATTTCCTCAACTACACACTTACCTTTTTATAAAAAAAAAAAAAATTAAACTTTACTCCCTTTTTATGCAATTGAAGGAAAATGAAGCAAGGGAATTTGGTAGTTTTTTTTTCTTCTTTGTTGTTTACCAAAAAAATAAATAAAGAACTTTAATTTGTTAATGTTACAAGTCCATATTGGTTGCCTATACAACTAATGTGGTCTTTATAAGACCTTGGGCACGTGGTGACCTCAAGGTCCGTAACAATTGATACTTTCATATTGAGAGTTGAGATTACGAAAAGGTTACTATATGCTGGATTAAGGTGCCTTTGGGCACTGAATATAGTGTCGATAGAGTGAAACTGAATATAGTGTCGATAGAGTGAAAGCCGCTCGCCCCATGACCTTGGCCAAAGGTTATTAATTGAAATGTTATCTAAAAACCTGAGGGAGAATGAAGTACATTAAGTGACATTTAATACAATGGGGATATAAATTAAGTTTTGCCAACTATAGTAGACCACTGAACTGAACTGAAGTGAAGTTATGAATTCTTGGTTAGCTATTTCTTCCTTTGCATCTTTATTGGGATAGAATAATCTTCTTGCCTCTATTGCAAATTCAATGTCTGCTTGTAGTTTCTATAACGAGGTTGATTTATCGGAATTGCTAAAATGGGAGAGCTATTGTCATGCATATCTCTTTTCCAGAGCATTTTTTGTTTTTAAGATGATTGTTGACCCTCCACTCTTGTGTTTTCCCCTCTCCCATAACATAATTCTTCTCTTATCTTAAGAGTAAATTTTTCTATCAATGTACTACTATTATTATATTGGAAACGAAGTTTGCTTCAATCCCCAAGACCCACAAAACAATAAAGAAAATATTATGTTCTGATTTTTTAACAGTTGGTTGCAGCGTATAAAAAGTGAGCAGGTTTGATCATCAACGTATCTGAAATAGTTGTCCACATGGAATGTATCATCTGAATGACTGATTGTCATATTAATTAATATGTTATCAACAGATAACAATCGATGGAAGAGTTGTTACTGATCTCAACACAGTCCTCAGGTTCTCTAATATAAATTTGCTATTCTTCTTAATACATGGTTTTATCCTATTATATGATGTTTCCTAACTTTTCCATATTAGAGTTGGCTCAAAGCTAGTTTATCATAGACATCCATGGAAGGAACCCGATGCACCACACATAATTGAAGTCTTGTATGAAGATGATGATATAGTAAGTGTTACTTTATGCACCATTGTGTATATCACTGCTTGTTTTCTATGACTGTTTTCGTCGGATCAATTATATTGAATTGAATATTTGAAATTACTTTCGTTGCTAATGGTGCTTTAGAATGCTATTGATGAGATTCAATTGACATTATACTTGTGTGTTACTTTAATAAAATTTAAATATGTTTGGTTCATAAGAAGGAGGAAAACAGAAGATAGAAAGATGTCTCTTAGCTAAATTGATATGTTTTTATAGTTTTCTGGCTGAATCCTCTCAGTGAGTGTTTAAATGAGTAGTGAGTACCTTCAGACTAAATTATGTGCTATTTTTGCTTCTCTCTACCAAAATATGTCATTGCAAGTACTAGGCAATTAGATTGTCTTCAATATTTGTTCTCTTAATTGAGACGTTGATTATGAATTCAGATTGCTCTGAATAAACCTTCTGGCCTGCAAGTTCTGCCTGGGGGTCTCTTTCAGCAAAGGACTGTTTTAACACAGCTTCAATGGGAAGCCAACAATCGGGGTACCTTTGAAGCACACCAAAGGCCTCATCCTGTTCCGGTACATCGCCTAGGGAGGGGAACTTCAGGTTATATATTGAATATTTCTGTTGAAGAGTGAAAGTGCTAGATTCTATCTGTTGCTTAGTTTGCTTTGAAAATGTTACATGCATGAACCAGAACTATGAGAGAAAAATAGTTTTATTTTTTTAGTAAATGGAAGTAGTTTTATTTTAATGTAATGCTAAACTTTGTTATCAGTTCTGAAAAGTTTATAGCCCTTTTATAATAACTATTTACTTGCTTGATTGTTTAATTACAAGTGGTAGTAGTATTTACATAGTTACCATTACCAGGGATTTTATACAAGTATGACTTGATCCTTTTCTTTTAATACCCTTCTGATGTTATAATTAACTATACCATGACACTTCCTATTGCTTTTATGATTGATTGATTGCATCACAGGAATTTTATTATGTGCAAAGACAAAACTAGCCAGAGCTCATCTTGCATCTTATTTTGCTGATGGAACATCTCACATTGGAGGAAAAAGGTTAGGAAAGAACCATATTTTTGGTTTGTCGAATCTTCTTAATTAAAAAGTTTTACCTTGTAGCCAGCCGCTTGCTTATCTTAAGTAGAAGGAGATTAAATCGAACACAGAAAAATAGTAGTTTTAAATTTTTAAAGTTGAAGTTAAATTTCTTACATAGGTACCTTGTTTCATTCATCTTATTCTGTTATTTATGGAAGCAGAGATACAAACCAGGAGCCTGGGAAGATTGCAAAGATATACCGAGCACTTGTGAGTGGGATAGTTGATAATGATAAGGTAACGCTGGCTAATTTTTTTCTCTTGTTTTTATGTGTATTGAGAATGATGTTTTTTGACTCCGCTCCCCTCTCCAAAATAAACTACACAGAAAAGAAAATTATAGGAGATTAAGAAAGCATGGATGTTTCATGGTGCATATTATTATGAATAATGATTAGACACCAGCAAGAACTTCTGTCAGTCATCTCTGCATTTATTTATACTACAGGAGATCTTTCACTTCTATAAATTTTATTTTACTGTCATATATGCTTCTTGAAAATAAACTAAAGTAGCTGGAATAGAGTTATTTGTTCCTTTTCCCATCTCTATGCAATTGTTATCATTTTCTTCTCGGAATAGAGTATTTGTTTAACTATCATCTATCCACTCTCCATAATTTCCATTAGATACGATAACTACTTTAGTGAGCATTTTATTCTTCTTTGAATATCAATCATACCTCCACCATATGTTTAATATCAAGGGACTATTGAGTTGTTGTTTATGCTTATTTAGAACATTTTGGTGCTCTGTTTATGTAGTTCGTAAATATTTTGCTATATTTTTTTATAAAATGCTTGTATAATTGAAGGTTGTTTCCTTCACAGGTGACTATTAATCAACCAATTGGAATGGTAAAATATCCTGGTGTTGCTAAAGGGTTGTATGTTGCTTCTCAATCAGGTTATTTTTAATCATTTTTTTTCCAAGTCTTCTGTTATTTTTATGATGTTTCCTTTTCATCATAAAACTGTCTTCTTTGACTTTCTGAATCATCCACTCATGCGTAGTTGTTCTCTTTGAACCAGGAAAACCAGCGCTCAGTGTAGTGGACATTCTAGAGAGAGACATACAAAAAAACAGCACATTGGTCCAGGTAGCTTAATTTTATGTTCAAGACCACATGTTTCTTCTTATGAGTCAACAGCCATGTAAACTTAAGGTCCTAGAAAAACATGAAGTGACAGGGTAAGAGAAAATAACTAAACTATCTACTACCACTATTTATCAGTAAAAACATTAATGAAAAATAATCATCATTTTAATAATTGATCACTTATAAAATATGAAACATCATATGAACCATTGGTTTAATTAAAAAATGTTTAGCACTGCTCTGTTCTCAGATATTGTTCAATATTCATTGATGTCCTATCAAACTGCATTCTAGGATAGTCATCCAAAAATTTTCACTATTATTTTAACATGCAACCTTTTGGCTACCCAAAGTTTTACTTGTTTTCTTCTCCTAATGATCCCTTTTAAGAGGCAATAGAAGAAACAAAGGCTACCATAAATTACAAATCCAGACTCTTTAGTGACATTTATCTTCTCAACTTATCTGGTTAAGAGTTGTCTCTATGGTCTCCGCATGTTTTTAAGATGGATATCTTGTCATATGGTTCTATAGTTTTCTTTCCCCTCTTAAATAATTCTTCTCACAGAAAAGAAATTACAATGTAGATATTAAAAAGTAAAAAATACAGAGAAGCCTATTGTTTAGAAGAATAATAAAAGAAAGACTGCGTGTTGCAAGACTCTGAATATACCATTATTGTGTTTTGATTAATTGGATGTATGCATGGTTCTTAAAACATCGTTCCAACTCGTAGAAACGGACATTTTTATGTTTTTTGGTCCAAAAACGTGTTGAAACGGTGGTAGAAACGGGATTTGGGTAGAAACGGTTGAAATGTCGAGTTGACTCGGTAAACTCGGTTGACTCGACGAGTTTACCGCGTTGACTCAGATCTGGAGAAAAAAAAAAAGAAATCGAGGGTATTTTGGGGAAATAACATTTCCCCCAAATTAAAACCAGAAGAAAAGCCCTATTCTGTCGGCGTTTGGCACTTTGGCTCCTCCTCTTCTTCGTGCCTTATTATTCACAAGCGACGAGAGGGCTGGTCAGCACTACAGTCCTTGCTTTTTCATCACCCAGACGCATTATTAGCTCTCTCTGTTCGTGTTGCTGTGTTTTTGCTCCAGCGCACCTGTTCACAAGTGACGAGCATCTCTGCTTAAAAAGTATGCCCATTTTCAACCTTTCGCTCCATTTACATACCATTCCTTTGTTAAACCATCTTCGCAGCATCCTTTGTTATTTGTTTTATTATTTGTTTTGTGTCTTTGTTAAACCATCTTATACCACACCCACCCCTCTTATTTTATTTGTTTTGCTCCTTTGTTAAACCATCTTGGCCGGAGCCAACCTTTTCTCCATCTATATACTATTTCCTTTATTTTATTATTATTTTTTGGTTAGCATGATGGCACCTTTTGATTCAAGTTAGATATTATATTTTATTATTTGGTTTGCTTCTTAGTTTCGTTTCTTGGCTGAAAGTCTGAAAATTGTTTTATTATTTATTGTGTTTTTGGCTTAAACGTGTTTTATTATTTATTGTGTTTTTGGCTGAAACTTGAAAGCCTTAAACTGAGATCATTTTTCTGAACTTTGATTAAATATAATTTGAAATCACATGGTTTCATCAAGTGCTATTGATAGTGTAAGCAACACTACCTCATGGTGTCAAACTCGCGAGTAAACTCGCAAACTCGGACAAGTTTACGCTTTTGGTCACCCTCAACGTTCCCGTTTCACTGCAAACTCGCTTTTGGCACTCAATCGGTAGAAACGCCGTGTTTTTTGGCAAACTCTTAAACTCTTACGAGTTTAACGATTTCAAGGAAATGGAGAAAAACCCATGGACCCGAAAATTTGACCAAAAACCCATCGTATAAATGGGTTTTTTAACACAAAAAACCCTAAATACTTGGTTCAGCCGCCATCGTTCTTGCTCATTGAGAGACAACGTCTTCTACGGCTCCTGCTCCACTGCCTTCTCTGGCTCCGGTAAGTGGAGGTTTTGTGGAAATGCAGTTCTGTGAAGCTGTGGTTCTTAGAAACCATCGTTGTTGCGGTGCTTCTTCCTGGTTAAGTTGTAGAAGACGACGCAGGCACTAGAAATCAATGTCGGCGGCGTGAAAGGGGAAAAGAGAAAGGAGGGGCAGAATGGGTATTACAAAAAAAAACTAGATCAATTAATTGACCTAATGGGCCAAGTCCAAAAGCAGCTCTATCCAACCCCTTAAAATAATTTTAGTAGTTATTTTGAATGAAGGCCTAAAGCTTTTAATATATATTTTTTTTTGGTGGATGAAAGCTTTTAATATTTAAATTTGAGAGAAAAATGCTGAAAATAATAATGATTTATTACTTTATTTAATTGTATTAATAATTATATGAAATTTGAAATGTGAATGTAAAATATTTTTACACTTATAATACATGAAAGTTAAATTTAATATTATGTATGTATATTAATAACTCATTTTTTATTTAAAAATCAATTGTGATATTAAAAGAAAACATATTTGATATTAAATTTGAAGTAAAAAAATTTAATATAACTAACATAACTCTGAATATGGATTTTAAGTAAAACATATTTGATATTTTGTTTTGGATCTTGATCTTTTGTGCTATGAATTTATGTGTTTGAGACATAATGTGAATATGACTATTGTATGACATTATTTTGCTGGTTGGTTAAATTAAATTTGCTTATTATATTACTTTATATGCATATAAATATATATAAATATTGTATCCTGTGTTACGGTTCTGCGATTTACGATTTTGGTTCATCCTTTCGAGTTTGCGTAGACTCTCGAGTTTGACAACCTTGCACTACCTTTTGATTTTAATATGTATTATGATGACTAAGTTTGAACTTAATTTTTATTTCCTTTAGTGTTTGGATTTAAATTTGTGATGACTTATGTATTGGTGTGTTCTGGTTTTATTTTGTACGTAGTAAACTCTTACGTTTCACGATTTTACGTTTTTGCTCACTCCTACCTTTTCTACGTAGACTCTATGTTTTAACAACATTGGATGTATGACTTTAACTACTAGTCTACTAGCTTCGAGTGCATTAAAGTTAACTGAGGGGATGGCCATTAATTGTGGAGTATAGTTGTTGATGCATGGCTTTTAGTGGATTACACTCTTTATTTTATTATATATAGCATATATGAATTTCTTTAGCATAATGCAAGACATATTGCTAGCTATTGGTTTTGCTCTAAAGAAGTTAGCCTGTTATTAGCAGCTTGCCATGATGAGATTGGCCTGTTAGCTAATAATTTGTTGGCCCCATTTTATTTATTTTATTGTTTAACCTTAGCTGAAAAACAATCAAGTGGGGAAAGGCTTGGTGGTTGTTTTTGATAAACACGATTTAAGTGCAAAAAATGGAAAGATATATAGTGGGTTGGGTAGAATAGAAGAGTGGTTTGAAAATTTTGGATTGTCATGAACAGTCTTATAACTTCCTCTGATTGGCTTGTTTAACAGGTCAAGATTCAGTCTGGACGGCCACATCAAATCCGCATTCATCTTTCTTTCATAGGACATCCTCTGTTAGGTAAATATTTAGTGCTAAATTATTTATGGTGCTTCATATGAAAGAGAAATAAAGTGAGATTTTCTTATAAGATGGACACAGTAATAAGAGAAGGTAGTAAGATTGCAAGTTTATCTTAAGCCTTTAAACTTATTCAATGGCTAAAATAGTAAAGTTTTGACCCTTTGAATTTGAAGTAAGTTTTAATGTTATTCTTGAAATATTTCTTTTGCTTCAGTTTTGTCTTCAAACTTTAAATTTAGCAAAGCCTACACCAATGTAATACTGTTATTAATGGAGAATGAAATGACTATTTTTATTAGGGTTTTAATTCGTAAATTAGAGTTTATGATTTGGGGGTTTTTAAGTTTATCAGTTGGGTATTTTATCCTTTGTTTAGTTCGTGTCTTAGGGATATGATTATCCTGGCTCATTGTATGTTTGTTTTTTACTCTATTGAGATTAAAAAATTTCATACAAATCTGTCTCTTTCAGAACGTAGGTTGCACCGACACACTTGATGATTGCAATTGCAAATTCTCATTTCTTAACATAATGAAAGAATAGTTAAACAGCATTTTTCCATACATCTTTTGACATCTTGAATCTTATACATTTAAATCAGTCTTTGAACGCATGCAACTACTGTTCCTATGTAATATGCATAATGACGGACTCACATTATCTTGTGAGTCTTGCCTCAGTTAACCTGAACTAGTCAGAAAGGGTTAATATCCTAGTCTTGTCCGTTTATCTTTCCTCTGGTTTTATTTGCAGGCGATCCTCTTTATGATGTTGGTGGGCAACCTAAATGCTTAGATTGTGACTTTGTGGATGAGACTTTTGCTGAAGATGGGTAAGTGCTTGTATTTTTATTTTACGAGAATACTTCCATTCATTCACACGATGTTCTTCTGTATAGTTACAGATTATTTCTCATTCTCTGTTACGCGATGATCTTTCCCTTACTTAACTTAAAAATTAAACACTAACTGAAGAAAGTTATGGAGAATCCAAGCAAATTTGTTAGTACCACGTTCTGGAATGTAAATCACTTCCTACCTCTGAACCAACATGTTTAAGGACATTCCAGCTGGTTAGCCACTATTTTTGTGCAACACTTTTTTTTGGGTACTTGAGTGCTTTTTTTGTATAAGAACACTTGGTGTTTGTAAATTTCTATCTTGACAAGTCATATGCTTCAGTAGAAGTATGTTATGTTATATAGGATAGGATCCTTTGACATCGGTGTCAAATTTTGAAATTTGACACCAAATTCCAACCGTTGATTTCCGCCAATCGACGGTTATCATTTATTGGAAATTACACTTATTAATTAATTATTAATTCCAATAAATGATAACCGTTGATTGACGGAAATCAACGGTTGGGATTTGGTGTCAAATTTCAAAATTTGACACCGGTGTCAAAGGATCCTACCCCTATATATATATATATATATATATATATATATTGTAGTTGCTAGAACTGCACAATTTGCGTTTCCATACGGTTTGTCAAGCCTCTGATTCATATCATTATTGAAGATGACTTTGAGAGAGGGGCTTTATAAAGTCGCTCACTCTTTGGATCTTATTTGCTATTCCATTGCCCTGTTCTCATTCTTTTGAAACACAAGCTTTACATAGCCACTTGCTCATTATTGTTTTGTTTTCATTCCTCTGAAACATAGTATTCATGCAATCATTTTATGTGATTCACTTATTACTTCTGATTATTTTTTTATTTTATTTTTGAGACTTATAGTTGTTGTGTCACTTCCCAGCTTAAAATTAAACATTTGCTGGGGAGGGTGGAGAGAGTCAAACTCAAACCGGATTAGTAGAGTCAATTAGGGCTTCGCATATCAGTTGGTAATTATAAAAAATAAAATAATAAATAAACATTTGCAATTCTTTGATATTTGTTTTACTGGCAGTTAATGACAAAAATATGATGGGAATTTGAGCATCAATTTTCTTTAATCAGAGTTGGATTATCCCTGGACTCCTTTAGTTCTTTTGGCTGTTCAATTTGTTGTAATTAAATATTTAAGGAAAAAAAAATATTGATTTGAAGTTTGATCCTAATCTCACTTTGCTTCTCTCTGTATAGGGGTTATCAAAGGCCTCACAAACCAGTTCCTGGAGATTGTGGCTATTATTTGCATGCGCATAAATTGTTTCTCTCCCATCCAGTAACTAATGAGGTATATTAAAAGTATTAATGTCAAATATCGATTCTTATAATAGTTGTTCGAAGATCGTATGACCAGGCATTTGGAAATGGAATTGAATTACCCTAGGATTAGTTTTAACCAGTTGATTTAAGAGTCAAAATTTACACTTATGCCATTTCCATTTGATTATATCATTTGAAGAATGAGTGCATATGGGTTGCTTTAAGCCATTGAGTTTCATTATCTGACCATTTTGGTGTTTTGCATCCTCAAGTCAAGAGATCCCTTCATGATGCCATATTATACGTGATAATGATGTTGCTAGACTTATATTTTTGGTTTCAGTTTCCAAATTTGAAAATTTTCGTGTGAACTTGCAGTTTATTGAAATCATTGCACCCCTTCCTTCCATCCTCCAGACATCGAAAGAGGCTCAGGAAATTAATATTACACAGCAAACAACTGATTAAGCTGTTGAAGTTGGTTGACTCCGAGGAAATGGAAAACATGGAGAGGAAGGTTTTAAGATGGGTCATCTCATCAGTTTGAAGGTAAACTGTCTTGCAATTATAGCAAATTACCATTGAACGATCTGAAACTTAAATTCGCGAATGAGGCAAACTATACAGCATTAAGTATGAATCACCAGGCTGTTTAAAGTCAGTCTCAAACCTTTTTATAGCCAATGAATCTGCTAGAAGTATCATATTCTCTAATGTCATATCGTTTTTAGGAACTCTAAATATACGCCAAGTCGGTCCACTGCATAATGTTTTTAAATTGCCGCACCATAAGACTTTGAGCACATTATCTCTAATTCGGTTGTAATGGATTAACATTATAATTCCATTCGAACTTATGCTTCTGCAAGAGGATAAGAAACCAAGAGAACAATGGTGCTGTTAAATTTTGCTTGCTGCTAGTCTGTTCCCTATCTTCTAAGGTGGTGTTTGGTTTGGAGCTTTTCAAGAGATATCTATGTTTCTCAAGTATGGCTTTTAGAAACACCATGTTTGTTTCAACATATTTTCACCAAAAATTCATCTATCCAATTTGTATGGATTTATGAGAAACATAGATATCTGCACTGTTCAGAAACCCAATTTGAAGGTAGAAATTTTTGAAAAACCAGTTATCTCACTTTTAATGCACTGTTGATTTCATAAAAGTTACCTAATTTTCCAGTAAAGTTTTTCCCCACCAAACAACTTTTTTTTACATAAACCCATCTATCTCACTTTTCAATCATTTCTCTATCTATTACATTTTCCTACTATTCCAAAAAAATTTACTCAACCAAACGCCTCCTAAAGAAATAATGCCGGTTTTTTGACTTCCAATACCAAAGCTACTTGAGCTTACAAATAAAAAATGTTACTTGCGAGATTAAGTCCTTCATGGACTTGAAAGGCGTATTGAAGACCTAGGGCCCCATGTTCATTATATAAATATACGCAATTTCCAACTATGGCACTTCAAAAGATGCTGCTCTTTTTCAGATTACCGATATTAAAAGAGCAAAACCATCGACTCCATTTCTGTTTTACTAACAGACAGAAAAGAAAGGGATACTAGCAAAAGCTTAAATTTTGTGCCTTTATTCTCTCTCTCCCATAGTGAATTAGAACCTCGAAATCTATCCAAACAGCCAGGTGACAGTTAGAATGAGCAGCGATGGCGACAAGAGATCCAGAATGGCAAGGTAATGGCAATCGCCCCTCCTAAATTTTTCAGAGATTATTTCTGTGTTTTCATCAAATACAACAAAAACAAAGCTGCTGCCATATTACAAGCACCTAAAAATTTTACCAAAAAGACGGGCTTGAGAACCATTAAATCGCCCCTACACTGTATTGAGCAATAACAAAAAACTATAATACAAGGCGCGGCGCGGCAAAAAGAGATGATTGCCGCTGAGCACATCAACTACCTGCCTAAGTCCCCTTTCCCTCCCCAAGATTCATCTTCTCTTTTGATACTCCCGGTCTGACCACCATACCTCTCAGAATTGGAATAATGCATTTTGATTGCAGCCACAGGATCTGAGACTCCACTGCATGATCCTCCCATAAGAATCCCCGCTCTTCCAACACCATTCATTCCCATCATTCCCATCCCCTGCTGTTGTAAACTTGAGATTGCTTCAAAACCATTTCTTTTCTGCATCTCTGAAAAAACATCTTGGCAGTGCTTGACATCTACCATAAATGGCTGCACTTTTGGACCGTCCCGACTTCTAAACATCTGATAATCAATCAACGCATTGCTGCCATTGATGTCTCTAGTTGTAAAAGCAGCTGCACCATTCAGGTGCAGATCATTATTCCTGGCAAATGCTTGCAATGTCTGTTGCTCCAATTTGGCAGAAGATGGAGGATAATTACTAAAGGCAGCAGGATATTTAGCTAGTAAGATGGCAGAATCGGGCAAGGATGAGAGACTAGTCTGAATTCTGTTCCCATCCCAATAACCATAACTCCTCATGGGAACATTTTCAAGGCCAAGATAATCATTACAGTCATTACGGTCGAACTTCAAAATTTTCAAATTTCCATCAGCATTATGATGGCCATTAAATTTCAGACTAGAAGACTTGCTGCTTAACTTGGGATGATGGTTACCATTTTCTTCACTTCCCTTGGCAGTCAAATTAGGTTTCTGAGCAGATGAAGGATTGGTTAGTATCTTACCAAACAGTTTCACATCACCATTTCTGGATGTTTTTTCAGAATCTGACAAATACCGTAATGATTTGAAATGATCATCGAATTTTTCAATCCTTTGAGACAGAAGAGGCAACTCAGTTGCTGAACTGCTGCAATTCATGTCCCCATTCACTTCTTTCTTAATGGATACTTGCAAAGGATAGCCCTGGAGGATGCTAACTGCCTCAACACGGTCTGATGAATTCCCAGGAATAGGAAGCTGATGGTCACCACTGCTGATGGACTTGTGACAAAGCATATCTCTACTTCCCTGAATATCACAAGTAGAAGACAGTCGATCTTGGCTAGCACTTTTCTCACTATGAAAATCTGTAGCAGCAGTATTTTGCAACAATGAATTTGCAGTTGGATGAAGATCCTCCATAGACAATGCTGACATATGAGGCTTTCCAAGGGACACATTCTTATTTTCAGTATTAAAACTCGATACTGAACAAGAATTGCCCAAAGAAGAGAGTGACGCATTTACTGTAGTGATTGAATCTTGCCCAGAGCTTTTCAATTTAACTACAACATCTGGGTCAACTTTACTTTTATCACTTCCATCAAGACATTGAGGTGAAGAAACTCTTTGCCTTTCCAATCCATTTACAATACCCCCAGAAGAAACCTCAGAAACCAATCTATACTCAGCCACAGAATTACTCTTGCATGGTTCACTTATCTCCAAAGCAGAAATCAAATCTGTAACTGCACCTCCCAATTTATTTGCATTATCTTTTCCAACTTCTGTACTATCTGACATAAATATAGCTGCTTGTCCACTGGTTGAACCAAGCTTCTCAGAACTGCACAAGCCAACTTTACAACCATCAGAGCCCAGTTTAGGTTCGTCCTTAATTGTACATGCATCAGAAACCACATTTACATCTTCAAGATCTGTTTTTGTCCCATTAATTTCCTTTGATTTGTTCAATTCAGCTGAAAGCTTCTGAACTTGACCGGGAGTAGATTCATCATGGTATGTGTTCATGACATAGGAAGGAAGGTCCTCATCTGTTTTAGTGCCAGACTTATCAGTATCAACAACACAAGCATCATCTGTGTCACTCCTGCCATCATTTGCATCATCATTCACTGGAGATCCAACATTTTCAGGTATGGGGCGCATGAGATCCAATCCAAGGCATTTTCGAGCCTTGCTGAAGAAAATTTTGCACTGTTCTTGGGACCTTGTTCCTACACACCTTGCTATCTTTGCAAAATCCTTGCCAAAAGATGATACAGCCTGAAGAAAAGCCGCCTTCTCCTCATCTGTCCAATCAGTTGGATCCATTTCGCCACAGCTCTCATCTGAACAAGTGTCATCATCAACATCCTGAGAAACATCAAGCATCAAGGGTTGTTTGCATAAAGGGTTCTCTTTCAAGAGCTTTCTATCCCTGTTACCTTCTACAGGATCAATTGAACTTGTTATGCAGGAACTCATAGCCTCAGATGAAAGAGAACCACATATACCAGCCAATACATCAGCTGCAGCAGCAGTGTCTCTTTCATCCCCAAAAATGTCAAAACTGCTTGATCTCTCTACGATGCTATACTCGCCCCTTGATGTTTTTACATTACCATATCCCCTCCAAAGGGAACTTCCTGCACGCAATTTTCTATTACATGCAATGCCATCTGCCATCACTGAAGCTGCACTTAAAATCTCAAGCGAAGCAGCATCCACTTCACGATTCCATTTTTTACCAGATGCCACCAAGCCAGTTTTAGCTGAAAATGACTTCCCTAGCTTACCAACATCTTGCTTCTTAAGTTTCTCAAAACAATCAGATTTGTGATTTTTGTAGTAGAATTCAACACAATCAGCAGTTGTCTTGTGGTCAAGGAAAGAAGCAATTTTCCGAAAATCTTTTCCAAAGGCAGCAAATTTCTCGAAGAAAATTTCTCTCTCATCTGATGTCCAAGGATTGATCATAGCCCTTTCTTTCTCAATAGCCAATGGATCTTCAACCAACCCATTACTAGATAAGAACTTTGAAATCATCTTCTCCTTCTCATCCAAAATTAATGCTGGCATCTTCAGGGTATTCCTCTGAACTTTAACTTGGGGTTCTGAAAGCAGTTTGCTTGTAAAATTAATTATATCAGAAGTTGGCACCAAGCTTAGATGATTTCCTGCTGCAAACAATTGAAAAAAGAAAAAGAAAATAAAGAAGCATAGTTATTATCACAACAAGGCTAAATAATTTAGGAACAGAACAAACAACCAAAAAATAATCATTGACATAAAATATTATAAATTTGAACCTATCATTGAATTCACAGGAGAAAGTGTCTTTGATTTGATTATTAGAAAAAGAAATTACCATAAATATCTGACTTTCCATTTATGTATGTTTAGATTGATTGCCAGCCACCAAGTTAGTTTGGCTGAGAGAGTGCCAATAGCCATGACTGACACTAGCAAATTCTCCACATTAGGGAAGTGCAGGAGCTTCTTTGGGGTTGGTTTCAAGTGTAGGCTCAAACCACAGCAAGGTTAGTCGGTTCCAAAATTTTTGGAACCAAAACAACAAAATTTGGAGAAGCTACCAATCCAAACCAAATAGGAATTTGATCAATCCTTTGCTCTAACCTTATGTCAGAGAACTGAACCAAAAACTCCCTCTATCATCAATTGAATCACTGTTAGAGACCAGTAACCTATCTTCTCTTCGATCCAATCACCATTACCATGTTTACTTTTTCTTTCCAAGGAACTTTGTTCCCTGGTTCCTTCACTAAAAGCATTTTACTAAGCAACTCTAATATGCATTTAGAAGTTTTGAACGGCACTAAAATGCACATTAACATTGAAAGAGGCTATTCATCATAACAAAAAATACGATCTAAATACTAAAGAAGACTAGATTATCACACATTCACACCCGATGATATGGTTGTTAAACCTGAAGGAGCTACATACTTTATTTACCTCTCCAAGGCAGAGAATCCTCTTCAAATAAAGCAGGCCCAAAAAAAAACTCGAGAGCTCATCAATACCTCTGGTGTATTTACCAAATAATAATAACAATCCACGAAACAATTCTACACCATAACAACTAAAGGAACAAATTATTGACCTCTCCAAGGTTCTAAAATCAATTTTGCACCATAAAAACTAATACTCTCTTTTAGAGAGGGTATACAAGTACATTACAAAGTTCTTTTCCTACACTAATAACAATCTCGTCATCACTTCTTTTATTCTGCCTAAATGACACAACTAAACCGATCCACGGCCTACGTCCCTATACACTTAACAGCAGCACTCTCTTTTAGAGAGGGTATACAAGTACATTACAAAGTTCTTTTCCTACACTAATAACAATCTCGTCATCACTTCTTTTATTCTGCCTAAATGACACAACTAAACCGATCCACGGCCTACGTCCCTATACACTTAACAACAGCACAACACTAGAAATATCCAGTGGTTGATTTCTCACATGGTATCATCATAATGCTGCAATAATCAAATATGAACTTAAAACCATGCCAATCACTGAACAAGGCTGACATAAATTTTGGTAATCTAAAAAAGAAATTCAATTGATAAATAATCAAGAGAAGCCCTCCTCCTTCAAGTATTGAGTTCACAAGGAGATATGCCTGCCAAGAGAGTAGCAAGCACCAACACACATAATAAAAGGTTTCGAAATCATCAAGAACTTTTGTTTCTAAAAAAAACCTATATGAGAAAATTGACAAGTTCTTTATTTCATCATAAACAAAGCACCAATTGCCATATGAAATCCAATCAAAAGCATAATTTTCTTAGCTGACCTAACTATACAAGGAAAGACAGTGCAAAATCACTGACCCATGTTAAGTAAAAGAATTGATAAAAATTCATACCAGGGAAGGCAAAACGTGATCGAATGGAAGATCGATTCTTGGGATTAACATTACAGGTAGTTCGCACACTTATTTCACTCTTCTTGTGAGATTTTGGGCGGCATTTCTTTATAGACAGTAAGCGCATATCTTCTTTCCACAGGTGATGCAAGGCTTTGAACTTAAGTGTGATAACTCTTTCCTTAAATCTTGCAAACTGCTTTTTCTCTGCAAATTTTTCCATAATCAATGTATGGGAGTATGAGTTCCTGCCAGCTCCCATATTACCAATCTCACAGCATCCTTTGGGTAATAACTTAGCAAATACTCCATCTGCTTTACTGACAGATTCTTTATTGGAAGAAATAATTGTATTGTATAAAACATCCTCCATGCCAGAACATAAGCTTGCACCAGAGGTGGCATCCATGCTATCCTTTACATCCATAGACATATTGCCATCACCACAAGCAGATGCACTGGCATCTTTCCTAGAAGTACAGGGAACTAAGCATTTCATGGCTGTAGACTGAACAGCATCCAAGTCCCCAGAGAGGTTCGTATCAATTGAAGAAACTGCTTTAATCAAAGGCAGAGGCTCAACAAATTTAGAAGTAGCTGTTCCTGGACTATCAATATCCTCTTCATTGCCATTTTCATGAGTACTATGTAAATTTGTTGAAAGAGGCATCTTCTCCACATCGGGTTCATCAGAAGTAACAATTTTCAATGGCACTGGCCAAGTGACCTTATCAGAGACTCCAACATGTTCTTCACAAGATTTTCCATTCTTATCTACCAGCTGTGAGCCCAATTCTGCTGGACGCGTACATCCATCCACAGATTCATGTTTTAGTGACTTCAGTTCATTTTCAAGTGAATCAATTTCAGATTCAGTCATCTCCACTACCTTTGAAATGTCAGCTTTCCATATCAACAACTTATTCATTGCATTGGATCTCACTAGACCAGAATCCACAGAACTTGGATCATCAGATTGTACTAACTCAACAATTGAAGAACCCAAATTATTCAAGGAGTCATCATCCAATTTCTCTAAATTAAAAGAAACTTCCGGTAGATGATTTTGGGACCCAGGAACAGGTGAAGTGGTCAAATTACTAACATCATTGTCCACATTGGCAGTCTTTCCAAATAATTTATCATCCACACCTGCCACAAGGTGAAAATCAGGTTCTGACAAACAATACATAAAAGGGAAAACAAGTAGTATATAATACAACAATTACACTACTGTTACAGTAAAATGAAGGGAAAATCTAAACTAGCATTTCTCATATAAGCTCAGGGAAAATTGATCTTGTCAAAAGAAGAGTATAAGCACACAAAAATGGGATAATTAAATATAAGATATCCTGGCAAAACTTATTTTCAATTTAAGGATGAATAGCCAAAAAAAGTGGATAACAATTTGCAAGACAGTTAATATGTTGACTTGATTGACCATTCTTTAGGATAATCCATCTTCAAATGGTCATATGTTCACAGAAGATATCATCTGAATTGTAACTCTCCAACTACACTTTGTCATGCTCCAACCCAAGTTACCTTAATTTAAAACCAGGGCACAATAAATATTCAAGAAACAGCATCTCAATAGTTAAAAACTGAAGGCAGCAGCAATACTGCAGTTGAAATGTCAATTCTTGTGAACATTGATCAATCATGGAAAGATGTCCAAAACAAATTCTTTTTTGTCTAATTAAAATTGTAGTCCCCATTGTTTCAACTTAGTCCTTAATTTTTATTTTTATTTTCAAATCAGTCTCCACACGTTTTCAAACTAGTCCCGAACTCCAACTCCTGTGTAACACCAACATTATATATTTAGCCCTATTGGACATTTTGAAGTAAAGAAAGAACATCTAAATGAGCACTTACAGAACAAAAAAGAGCACATGCTCAGAACAATTGAGTACCAACAAGAGCACATATGGGAGGTTTTACAGAAAAAAGAAGCACTTAAAGGTCCACCTACTAGAAATAGAAACACTTACCTAGTTAACCAACTGATGGTGTTAAACCAGCACACACTATCTTGAGATCGTTTGTAAGTAAGTGTATGTACTGATTTGAAAGGAGGGAAAAAAACTACACACACTAAATTGAAAACAAGTGGAACCTTTGTAAACCAAAATTTCAATTAACCTTTTTTTTTTAATAAAAGAAGGAATTAGAGTTAGGAGGATAAGAGATCATCCTTAAAATAAAAAGAAAACACAAACAAAAGAGAACAGAACAAGGAAAAATGAATGAAGCAAAGCTATTTTTGTGATAAAGGAAGAAATTCATTAAGATAAGATGATAACAAAGAGCTAGGAAGGTAAAATATCATTCTTAAAAAAAAGAAAAACACAACAAAAGAAAACAAGGAAATCATCAGTGAAACAAAGCTATTAAATCCCATTTTAAAATCGCAACTAAGAAAACAGTAAGTATAAAGGAATATTGACTCACGAACAGATTTGCCTTGCCAAATATCGGATTATTATTTCACTGCAGTTCTATATAAAATAGCAAAATAAACACCATAATATCAGAGTATTATTCACTATAATTATGAATATATGATTATATAACAAGATGTTAAGTTGTTAACCATGCTGTCCTGAATCAGATGTTAGTTGATTACCAGTAGAAAACAGTTAAACAAGTTAAATTGCATTTGGTTCTTATAGCTCTTTGATTGAAGGATTTGAAACACTAACAGAGTGCCCCACAACATACCTGGTGAGGAACTGCAGGCAACAGAAGATGGAGTTGCGGGAGATGCACAGCCCGAAAATCCTGTAACTTTTGGGCTATTATCTACTAAGCTGGGACTGAGGAAGTTACAAGGTTCCATGTTACTAGTAGACAGGACAGGGCAATCTTTGTTTGCACTTACATCAGGCCCCTCAACTTTTTTCTTCTCATATTTTGCAAGACCCTCTCCCCAGTTTAGCCTAGGCTTCTTTCTAGAAGTTGTATCTTCAGATGGTGCAGAAGATGTCACACATGCAGCAACTTCCCCAGAATGCGACTCAATAGCAGTTGCATTTTTGGGTTGCAACTCAGTCTTCGCTTCATAGGAATCTGCCCCTCCCATGCTCCTTGAGCTACTTGAGTGGCTAAAACCTGAGCCTCGAGAAGACAGGCTTCCAGAACGGGTCCATTTGAGTGGCTTCCAGTCAATTGAACCCAGTGAATTCTCTCTATCACATCTCGGACCTGTTCCCAACCCATTGACACCACCCATCCTATCATGCTGGTCTTTCAAATGGTGCTGATCCCAACTGTTTACGAGATCAGTATGTGGATGAGAGGAATAAGTTAGGTCATCATCAACTGACCTCTGGTCATTATTCACATCTGGTGGCCTCCTGGACACATTTAGAGAGCCATTGGTGGTTTCCCATGAATGTCCTCTCCAATCTCTTGGGCCAAAGGGTCCTCTATTCTCCCTACTGCTCCTGCTATATTTTCCATCCCCCCGTGAGATTGATGGCCGACTATCTTCCTCCAGCATCTTGTCACCGGTCCGAGAAATCGCATACCCGTGACCAGATTCTTCGGAAAACAGGTGCCAACCTCCCTGCTTACCATGACCTTCCGAAGATATTTAAACAAAAAAGGAAAATAGGAAAAAAATCAACAGAAGCAAAGTATATATTCTCACACCGAAAAAAGGGGGAAGAGAAAGAGGAAAGAAATCTTGTGTTGTTGTGTGGGGGGGGGGGGGGGGGCTTCCTTCTCAAGGGTTAAAAGTAACATTCCAATAACAAAAAACTACACGCACAGATCTTCAACAATCAACACAAGATTTACTATCAAGAACCTATCAAATAAGCAGAGGTTAATCGACCAAATCTTAAACCACTCAAAAATTCTATTTCTTTCCAAGGAAAAAAAAGGCACAAAAATGTAACCTACTCAAAAATCGGTGGGTTTTATTATTTGTTTCGGTAAACAAATCGCATCAAAATGCTAAACAAACATAGATTTGGAATCGAAGACCAAAACAATTCAAACTCACCTGGCGGTCTGCGGAACTCGGGGGATCCCCACCGATTGAAGTCTCGGTGGTGGGACGAATCTCTCCATCTCGCCACAGATCCTAGTGATTCAGACCTCTCGTGCTTCCTCTCCTTGAAGAAGTCCTTTCGATCCCAAGGCAATGGTTCAGGCGGCATCAAAACCAACCCAATAGCATGGGCAACCACGGAAAACAAAACCTTATTAACCACACAGCGTAGCAAACCAACAAAAACCAAACCACACCACCGCCAAAACAAATCCACACAACCTCCAACTCCAGATCCCACGCTCAAGCCGAATTCACAACACTGCACCAAATCTAGGGTTCACAGAGCTAAAGAACGCCGATTCGCAAGGTTCCTCGCCCAAAGATCGAACAAGAAACCGCACGCGGCAACCAAATCACCGCGCCGCACACCAATCTAGGGCTTCCCCACAGCTCCAAGACGAAAACCTCAAAAAACAAGAATCAAAACGTACAGAACAGAGAAAAACCTGCAGATTTCACGACGGAAAAGAAAAGCAAACAGACAGATAGAGAATAACTTCAGAGGCGGCGATTCAGATCAGAAACGGTCGCCATAAACAGTGAGGAATAATAAGCCACGGATGCTGGATTCAAACTTGGAGGTGAGATTTCTGTGTGTCTATAGCATAGACTGTGTGCATCCCCCTCTCATTGAAAATTTTCTCGGATGTTTTCTTGGCTGGTGGAAAATCTGCCTATGGGGCGAGAAAGTGAGAACATGAGACGATAAGCTTGAGAGCGAGAAATGAAAGAGATGGAGAGAGAAAGAGTAGTAGCGGATCTCAACGCTTCTTATAAAACCATATTTCAAACTCGTTTCGAATCCGTAAATATATTATTTTTTAATTTTTTTAAATTTTTTTTTGGATCTTTCGCTTTTTTTAATTTAATTACTTTTTCTTCTATGAGCTTTTCTTTGTGAATATGGCCGTCTTGTATAATCAAAATGCCCATTGTTTCGGCCGTTATTTACGGGAGCAGTAAACATCCTTCCGACGTGACCATAGTACCCTTGTGATGTTGTCATATTGCAGGAACTTTAATACTTTTAAACTGTTTTAAAAAAATTTAAAGTTAATTTTTATTCAATCTTTCAAAAAAATTGAAGACAATGTAAAATATTCAATTTTTTAAATAAAATTTAGTATCTTATTCTTACGAGCTTTGTTTGTGAAAATTCGAATATAGCATTTGATATCTGATTATATAACATTTAATATCGAAACAAATTATAATATTGACATTTGTCAAATGATATAAAATCTAACGTTCACTAAAAAGTTACATTCCATTTTCGTTCAGTCGTTAACTTTTCTCATTAATTAACAATGATTGGTTGCATTAATTTTTCGGTTATTTTTTAAATAAATTACTGGTCGAAGTAAGAGTAAATCTCGAAATAAATTTTACCCGTAAGGTCATCAAAATTCAGATCCCGAATCATAACTACTGTGTAGTGGATCTGTCAGTGAAAAAATTTAGGGAAAAATATTTTTTTTAAAATGACATAACTTATATTATTTCACTCTTATAAAAAAGTGAGATTCATATCTTTATATTTTTTGTCTATTCTCTCTTCTCTTTTATCTATCTATTTCTCTCACTTAAAATGACCTAATTTTATATCTTTTCAAATGATACAAATTTTTTCCAATAATTTATGGTTAGTACAAAGTTATCTTACTTGTTGCGTAGTATTTTTTTTTTGGTTTTTCGGGATTTCTGTGTTTTGTATGAAGTTAAATATTTTCTTCCCAGAAATATTGACAACCAAGCAAAAGATATAAATATATACATTTCTCTCTTAGCTACAAGCTATAAGTATTTTATTTTTTTAAATAATACTATTTACTTAGTTATAATTTTTTATTGAAAGAAATAGATAGAAGAAAATTAAACAACATTTTTTATTTAAAATAATTTTTTAAAAATATTTCCATATAAAAGTAAATCTTGGAAATGGATTTTCTTGTATCTTGTTCATGTTGAAGATCTCAATTATTTAGTTGTAAATTAATTATCATAATTTTAAGGAAGAGATTCATAAAATAAGAGAGTAAAAATTATAATTGAAATTTTAAAATAATATGATTATGTAAAAAGAAGACACGAAATTATCTATTCTCGTAATTTTTTAAAATTACTTTTGTCTGTGGCAAATGAGAATGATGACAAAGGACAAACTCTATATTAACTTTAAAATGCACGCATTACAGCCTTATTATTGCATTTTGTTCGAATAAATTATTTCGTAGGCGTAAATGTGTGACCGGAATTGGAACACTTTTTTTTTTACCAAACTTCAAAGGCTTGTCCTCTCATGACAAGAAAATGTTATACTATATAGAATATTTAAAATGATTAGAAATCCAATGCACGCCAACATGAACCATCACACGTAAAGCTACAAAACAAGTCAACTTGAGGGAGGTTATGTTCAAATGGGTTAATCTGGTCATACTCACTTTACTAATGAGCTAGAAAAATAGCAAACCCAGCTCCACCCACCCGAGTAAGTGTGTTAAACAGGTTGGCCCACCTAAATTAAAAAATAAAAGCAATGAAAAAAGTTAAAAAAAGTCTAGGAAGGAAGTCATCTATATATTTATAGGTAATGTGTATAGAATATATATATTTATAGGTAATGTGTATAGAATATATATATATATATATATATATATATAATTTATGTATTTATCTTTGCTACAAATCTGACCTTGTTCATAAGACTTTTCCAAAGACAAATGGACAAGCTTGCATGCCCTCAATAACTCAATCCATTGCTATCATGCTAACCGCCAATTTCAGTATGGTCCTTTTGTTAATTAAGCCATTGACCTTATTATAGGAAGACAGACAATCGAACTTAAAACAGTATATAAAAATAGAAAAATACTAGATACAGTCTTATATATATAATAAAAGGTTTTATAAGAGTTATGTTGTAAGAAAAGTGATTGTATAATGTTATAGGATTCGTTTTGCGTGCCGTAATTTTCTTTTCTTTTTTCTTCAAAAAGTGTGGGGCCCACAAAATGTTGTGTGTATAAAAAAATTTGTTGTATCATGTTAAATGACAAATGTAAACTCTCATAATAAAATAAATAAATGGTTTTTTTTTAATAGAAATCAAACTTAAAAGCCGTTTGTATTACACTAGTAGCTTTTCTTATACTGATTTTTTTTTATAATCTTAAAGGCTAAAACCAGCTTCACATAAATTAAATTAAATTAATTCTTATACTGATTTCAATTACCTCTTTGAGTATCCAAATCAGAATTTAGTTATAATTAAAGTTATAACTACAAAGATATATTTGGTAATTGAACCCAAATTTTCTCTTCATTTTATTTAGCTTCTGTTGTCAACTGAACTACATCTATTGAGTGTTGAAGACTTGAAATCCACAAGGTCATAAATTCAAAATTTATTGCCACAATTGAACATGTTAAAAAAATAATGCAAACACATTTTTTTTTTGGTAAATAACGACAAGTACAACATTTTTTAAATTTTTGATAAATCATATATATTTTTTATTGGAGACAATTCGTACTAAACTTTAAATTCTTCCTAAAAATAATATCAGATAAACGAGAGTTTCATCTACTAAACTCTTATATACCCACTAAACAACTATTATTTAATTACAAGTACAACATATTAAATTAAATGGCAGCGATATGCTTTTGCTAAATAGAAATCAAGTCCCAGTTTGGGAGTCAAGGCCCCAACCCGTCACTGCACATTTTGCGGTTTCAATCGTAATCGGATTCACCAAATTTAGTTTTTTTGTATTAAATTGGTAACAGAGTCAATCATTCATGATGAGATATTTTTGCATGTTTGACTAAACGTAATGAGAATTTTTCTTTTCTCCGTTTTTTTTTTTTTTTCATTCACTAGAAAAAACTTATTTTTTTTTATTTTTTTTTTTGTAATAAGAAAAAACTTATTTGATACAGGATAACCATGGCTAATGTGCAGACTTTAAGTTTTCTTTTCTACATGACTATGATCTTCAACTTAAGTATTTTTCTCTTCGATTTTAAAGACACAATCCAGACATCAATAACGTATTTATGAAAATTCTTTAATTTTAGAATGCTAGCTGGAAGTTTGAAGCTGAATAATCAAAATATAAAACGCACATCACTGACTTAGCTTATGACGTTATTTGGTATGCATATTTTAATACAAAATTTAATACGTGTGGGCAGCACCATAACTCTTTCGAAAAAGGTTGTCAATAGCAAATTTTTAATTCTTTCATTGTATTACTCCTCTCATTTTTAATCACTCAGAATATATATATTTTTTTTTTTTGATAACATAGAATATTTTTTTCATGAGAGTGTTCTGGACCTAGAAATGGGTTCCACCCCCTTGACTTATTGCCCTTGCATTCCCTGGTGATTATGCAAACCCCATTATTAATCATCTTCTTTGGATCAGGAAAAAAATTATATTATGCCATAATTTAAAGGATTTGGTGTTTATCATTTTAAATGATATAAGTTATGTCATTTAGAAGAAAGATAGACACACAAAAAATAGAAATCATGGGAGAGAGAAAGTGATAGTTTTTTTAATTTAAAATTTAAATAAAAAAAATTCTGTGTCTGTCTCTTTTAAAATGACAGAGTGTTATGTCATTTAAAATGACAAATATTTTTTCCTAATTTAAAATAAAAAATAAAGTTTTAGATAGATTAAAATGTTATTTAATAATTTACAATTAGGGTATTTATTAAATAGATCAGTGTAAATTAATGCAGACGTTATTATGCAATTTTTATTGAATTAAATTTAAAAGTTACAAGAGAAATAAATATGAGTCATTATGAAAATTTGACAGTACTTTCGTTTCGTCGTTACAAAAACAAATGAAAAAAAGAAGGTAAACTCGTAATTAAGGCAATAAACGGAGGGCATTTAGTGGAAAGATGCACCGTTTTCCCTTCCCGCCTTATGCGTTGAGGGTCAGGCAGAAACGACAAAAAGGGTGATTGGCAGTGGGTACACGCTTCTGCGGAGCGCGTGACATCGAATCTTAGGGCTTACGTGGCGAATCTTATTCGGCATCTTCCGTAGGGGTCCCTGATATTCCACTCCTTCGCTGGGTTCACTTTCTTTCAGTGTACCGTGTCTATAGATTCTGAAATTTTAAGAGAAGAAGAATAGTTTTATGCTATCTTAATGAAACTTTTTAAATATATTTTTAATTATTGAACAAATAAATATTAAATATTTTTATTTTTGTTTTTATTAAATGGTATTTGACTCATAAAAATTGAAACTAAGAAATAATTTAAATGTTTGTACTCTTGGGTACATTATTCCTATATCTATGTAACCTAATGACCTAGGGGATGTTTTTAGACCTGACCCAACTCGTACCATTTTAACGATGATCAACTCGAGTTTAAATTATGAAAATTTTAAGGCCAGTTTCAGTCATATTTGAATTTGATGTATCTTAATTCACTCTTATATAACATTTAGGACTTATACATTTCTAAAAAAAATTAAAGATATAAGTTAGAAAACATTTTCTTAAATTAATACATTCTAAATACTTTTATAGTATTAAGTAATTTAATTGTAAATTTTATATTTAAAATTTATTTAGTTTTAATATATTACTTCTAAAATTCTATTACTCATAGTTATGAATAATACTAAAAATTATACATTTTATCTAAATTGTAAATTAGTCCAGACATGA